GAAAGCAACGATTTCGAGGGCAATGCGGATTTGGAGAAAGGTGTGATAGGAGAAGTGAGGCTGGCAGATGTGCTGGAGGCACCGTCGCCTGATGCCGGAAATGCAGTGTTCAGATTGGCGGGTTGATCACCCGCAGTAGGGCGTTGGGCGGCAGATAGAGAGATAAAGGTATCGACGCACTTCGCTACATGGGGAAACATATTAGTATCAAAGAGAGCCAATGCTGCGGATCTTCTTCAACATACCGATAATGGTCTCCTCATACTCGCCGCCATTTTCCAACTTGAACAGCTTTCCAGCGCCTAGAGCAAGAACCATGCTCTCGTTATATTCCTGCAGATGATAATATACCTTTGATGCGACTAGTGCCGCAAGGCCGCGTTCCGGAAATGATTCATCTTCGTACAGAGCCTCACTAGATGGATAGTCAGCAGAGGCCTAGTAGCCGGTCGGACTCGGGAGGAATGACGCAACAATCGAGATGAAGCTCATTCTCACAAGTCTATCAAAAGAAGAACTCACATTTCAGGAACAGAGTTGACAACCTCTGTCCAGAGATGATCGATCTGGGAATCTAATGTCTTCAAAGCAAAGACCTTGAGCTCTGGGTCAGGCTCGGAGAGGAAGCCAACCAAACCGGCGGCCGATACGAGTCCGACCATCTTTATTGAGAAACGATTCGCGTCACAATTCGCTGGACGGAATTTGAGGAATGGTAGTGTTTTGTTGCTGTTGTGATGAAGCAACGTCAATCGGAGAGAGCTTGGAATAGCGAATCAGCCCCAGCGCAGAACAAGGTTTCAAGGGGGAATCAGTCACCCCAAATAATGAGAATATGACAAGAAAGATAGAAGTTGATTAAATGAAAGAGACGAGATGGATGAAGTGCACGTACGAATGGAAGCTGGGAGCAGTTGTCAGAAGCTTTGCTGGCGCGAGAGCAACGTCAACGCCTGAGCGGAGCTGACTGTACATGAAGGATCACGTGGATGGCGCCTGGTCAGCTGCGAGCGGCCCCTGTCCGCGGTGAACAGCTCACCGTCAGCTAGCGAATGGATTCTTTATTTCTGATCTGGTGATAATTCAAGAGCTGACCAGACCTTGTACCGAAACTACTAAATATTCTTCCTACCCAGGACTGCCGCGACAAAACTCCAACTCTTCCTGTCAAAAGTTTGGCTATCCACGCTTTCTCTGTCATGTCGACACTTCTTCACCAATCCTTTCTTGGTAAAAGGCTGCCATCACTGCCAGCCGCATCTTCTATTTACCACCATGACCCTCTTTTACATGTTGAACGCCAGACAAAACACATACAGCGCAATCTCCAAGTCCTGATTGATGCTCAAAGCGAAGGTCTTCTGTCTGTTCTCGCTGGGCCTCAACAGGATCAGATCTCAACCGGAACTTTGACTCCAACATTGTCATCCAATGGGAGTCGGTCACAGTCTCCTTCCACGGTGCCCGCTAGGCAGCCCGCGCCCAAGAGAATCGGGCTTCGGGCCGCCCGGGAAGGCATATTTCAATCAATATATGATCTACTGAAGTTACGAGAAGAAGAACGAGAGATTCTCACATCCCAGACCAATGAAAGGGACAACGCGCTGCGTGATATCCAAAGCTTCGTGGCAAGAAGAAATGGTCTAGAGGACGCCATTACCACTATACATGGAGACGAGGAGAGCCGACGTTCAAATCAATTAGAAGAAGAGGCTCGGAACCTAGAGACTGACATTCATGAATTGGAGACCAGGTTGTATGAGATGAAAGCTAAACATCGACATCTTGTGAATGAGATATCACAGATCACCAACTCAGTCGACGCCAAGCTTTCTTCTTATACTGAATCTTTGTCTTTACTCGACTCTGACATCCGAAACTACCTCCGTGCTCCTCCTATCCAACCGCTATCGCAAAGCTCGGGCGAATCCACCTTTCACTCTTTGAACCCCAAGCGCCGCACACTTGACATGGCCCAGGAGCATTGGAATACGGAACAAGTCAGGTTGCACAGCAGGCAACAGAAAGTGGATGCCGAAATCCTGGCACTGGAAGAAGGAGGCGGTGTATGGAAACAAGCGGTATCCGATGTCACTGGCTTTGAGAAGCGCTTACAAGCGAACATGCGACATTATGTTGAGATGACCACACCAACAACCCAGCCAGAAGGATCCACACCGACAGGTTACAAGGAAGGACTTGTGAAGAGTATCCTGGATGACTTGGAAAGAACCACTCACCGGATTGAATCACATCTAGAGCTCGCCGAGAATAAGGACTGGAAGCTATTAGTTTGCTGCATTGCAGCCGAGCTAGAGGCCCTGCGAGAAGCAAGGGGTTTACTTCTTCCCGCCTTCGGCCTCCCGGTGCATGAAGAGGATGCACCCCTGAACTCTACTTCTCCCAAAGATCATCCTCTGCTGGACCACGGCTTCGAAGGGAGTCATGAGGACTCGCGCGCGGGTCCACTGGAAAATGACGACCCAGAACCTCCAGCCGATTTGCTCCAGGATGCAGACCCCCATCATTCGGATATTAGATCAGAAGATGATGATGAGCCTGATCCATCCTGGCTGGCCTGATAAGTGCCTTTCGTACATATTCAAATGAATAATAACTCATATCTGCACGATCTACATAATACCTTCCAACCAAGTGACAATTTTATCTATTCGCCATATAAATCTACTTCTAGTGTTAACTTATTATATTTCTAGCTAAATTGGGTCGCTATATTTCTCGCTATATACTCGTATTTCGTACGCTTGGCTCTAGAGGCGATGTTCAAATTGTGTCTGATAGTTCCGAATTATTGGAGTGGGCGGACGACCACCGAAACCTCGCCGCGCCCTTGATCTCTTCCTATTAACGGCGAACTATAAGCTTTGCATTTCAAAACGAAAAATTATGAGGTAAACTAGACTCGGCCATGGATCTTCCATCACCAAGCTTCTCTTTCTTCCTCCCGTCTGTTTACGATGGCAACAAGCTCGAATGCCGCATCTATCTCCCGCCCGTGCTCAAAAATATAGAATCAACAACAAGTTGGCCCAACCGCGGTGCCATTATCGCGCATCCGTATGCAAGTCTGGGAGGATGTTACGATGATCCAGTCATCAGTTTCATCGGTGGCGAGCTTCTACAAGCCGGCTGCATCGTGGGAACCTTCAACTTTCGGTATAATCACCCATTGCTAACACTCCACCATGACAACGTTGCTCACGAATGACATATAGTGGAGCTGGTCACTCTGAAGGACGAACAAGCTGGACTGCAAAGCCCGAGCTTGGTGACTATGTATCGTTCTACGGGTTCATGCTGCAATATCTGCACCTCCTGAACCTTGCATTGGCCCCAAGGGACCAAGTAGAGCCTCGCAGAGTCACCGGCGAAGAAGGAAATAGCCCAGATATCCGTCTGATCCTTGGTGGCTACTCGTATGGGTCTTTGATTGCCTCACATGTACCGACCCTCGATACTATGCTCGACCTTTTCCAATCCACGCCCACAACCACCTCTACAAACAAAACAATACCCATGCACGAGATTAGGAGTACAGCAAAACGGATAGCCGCATTGTCCCTGGAGCAACTTCGTACGAGTTACAGTCTGACCGACGCCCCAGACCTCCGTGCATTGACGACATCCATCTCCTATCTCCTCGTGTCTCCGCTATTGTCCCCAATTAGCCAATTTCTAACTGTATTCTCGACCTTATCGCTGAAGGTGAAAACGGAGACCCCCGGAGGTCCCCAAATCCCATGCCCGCGTCCAGCAGACCAGCAGAGCACGCACCACACCCTGTCACTCTTTGGGGACCAGGATACCTTCACAACTGCTGGGAAACTGCAGAGGTGGTCAGACGAGATGGCGCACATGCCACGCAGTCAGTTCCAGTTTAGGATGATTGATGGCGCGGGTCACTTCTGGCGTGAGAACGGGGTCGAGGTGCGGGCAAGACATGCGCTGAAGGAATGGCTTTGTCAGATATGATAGTCTTCTGATTTGGCTGTCCAATTATATTAAATACTGTCCACATATTTATGCATGCACTTAGCGACACAATAATATCGAAGGATGACATATCAAGGCGAAGATCAGCCCCGGAGAGCTCACATGCCGCTTGCATGTGAAGAAGCCCCGGGTCTCCACGGAGTTGCCCATGTTATATGGGGTCTAGGGGGGTTGGACACAAAGTAATTATTTGAAAAGATCATACTCCAATGATTGCAAAAAAAAAACAAAAACAAAAACAAAAGGAAACCCTGAGACATTATCGAAAAGAGATTGAGAAGTAAATCCCTCAATTTATATTGTAGGCAAATATTATATGCATCCGGGGGAGAGGATGTAGATGGCCACAAAAGGCCCCATACGGCGAATGCCTTCGGTACCAGTGTCCCTAGATTTTGTTATCCCGCACTCCTCCTATTCGAGGGAATAGAGTCAGCTTCCTTCTCTTCACCCATGATTTACATCGCAGCAACATTATCGTAACATCCACTCATCATATGTGCATTATCATTGACTGGGAGCAGTCGGCGTGGCTACCTGCATATTGGCAGGCCCGAAAAGCCCAATATACAGCCTGGTGGAAGTCAGAATGGTCACAACAGTGCCGTTGTTATTAGACCAGTTCTCTAGTACCGCGGATGCATGGGACTATGTAATTTCTATAGGTCCCTAGATACATAGTGTAGTTTTCAATATCTTTCCTTAGTTTAGCTTCTAAAAATAAGTTGTAGTTTCCTCTTATCATCATTTGACGTTGGGCGTAATATAGTATAGTGAAATCGTCATAAAGAACCCAAAGTGGTCCCGAGGCCCAGCCTGAGGAAACTGGCTTCCCGCGTGACGTTAACTAGGCCACCCCTAAACTTGACTTAGATCTCACCTCTTACCGACTTCACTTTCTTTGCTTTATTATAATTTTATTAAAACATATCCCCGCATTTCAGACCCCGGCTGGATGGCTTGCTCCCCCCATGCACAGCCTTGCGATGTCGGTGTTGGGCGACCCCACAATAGTTCAGTGCCATCATGGACACAAACACTCCGAACCTTTATCCCAGCCCCCACCGCCGTGGTCGCCCCGCAAAACGATCATACCAAATGTATCGTCGCTTGTGAAGGATTCGTGGAACTGGGCTGGTGATACACTACACACCTACCGTGATGGCCTATCTAAAGAACAACGGAAACAAAGGGCGGACATCGAGGATCGCAAACAAGTCCTATATTTGAAAATAAAGAATGTAAGTACATGCGGTGTACCTGAAGCGGGCGATCGCATCTGCAGAGTGACCCTTTCTAACCCTTAGGCTGCAGGCTGTGTCGTACGAGGAATGGCGAAGTTGTGCCATTGAACTAGATGAACTAGAGCACAATAACACCTGGAAGCAGACACTCGAGTCCGCCGAATATGACCCAAATTTGGTACAGGATCGTTTGCGACAGTTGGAAGAGGCTCGCATCAGCTGTGATGTAAGCCGGATGCTCTTTCTGGTGCGCACAGCGCTGAGTCGGGACCTGGCGCACATGAGCAATGCCTCTCTCTATCGCCATTCTCATATCGGCACCAAGGACTTGATTGATAGATATATCACCACGGCTGTGGAGACCATCGCCACGCTGGTGGATCTTTCGGTACATGATCGCTGCGATGGGCTGGAGTTGAAGTATATCCTGGATCAGCTGCTGGCAGCTCGACAGGCATTTGGTCGCAGTGCGCTCCTCTTCTCCGGTGGCGCCACTTTTGGCATGACCCATATCGGGGTGCTAAAGGCACTCTATGAGGCAAATATGATCCCTCGAATTATCTCAGGTGCCTCTGCTGGTAGCATTGTGTGCGCGGTCTTTTGCACACGCACAGATGAAGAACTGCCGGCGCTTTTGGATACCTACGTACATGGGGATTTTGACGTCTTTAATGAGAAGGGCCAGGAGGAAAATATCCTGCAGAAGATGACTCGCTTTTTAAAGTTTGGATCATTTCTTGACATATCCCACTTGGCAAAGACTATCAGGAACTGGCTGGGGGATATGACCTTTCAGGAAGCCTATAACCGTACCCGCAGAATCCTGAATATCTGTGTGTCGAGTGCCGGCATGTATGAGCTTCCACGGCTGTTGAACTATATCTCTGCCCCCAACGTGCTGATCTGGTCTGCTGTGTAAGTTACCCCTTTTTCATCCTCTCGGCCCATTTCTAACGTCACTCAAGGGCGGTATCCTGCTCTGTCCCGTTTGTCTTCAGACCGTTCACGTTGATGGCCAAGGATCCGTTGACAGGGGAACCGGTCCCATGGAATGATCTTCACAAACAGTATATCGATGGCTCTGTCGATGGAGATCTGCCTATGACACGGTTATCAGAGATGTTCAACGTGAATCACTTCATAGTCTCTCAGGTGAACCCCCATGTGGTACCATTCCTTCCAAAGGAAACAGGCCCACAGGATGAGACAACCGATGGCCCTTCATTCATCCCTCGATGGATGAACACGATGACACACCTTGCCAAAGACGAAGTTTTGCATCGAATGAACGTCCTCTCGGAACTTGGAGTCTTTCCAACATCAATGACCAAGTTTGCTTCTATTGTCAACCAGAAGTATCATGGAGACATCAACATATACCCGGAACTCGTTTCCTCCAACTTCCCACGGTTGCTGGAGAATCCGACAACGGAGTTCATGCTTTCTGCATGCCTAAGTGGCGAGCGGGCAACGTGGCCGAGACTAAGCCGTATCCGTAACCACTGCGCCATTGAGCTGGCACTCGATAATGCGATTCAGAATATGCGCGCCCGGGTAGCCTTCAGTCCGAGAGAGGTTGATCTACGTATGCCAAACTTTAGCCGGCACTCGATTGACTCGGCAGACAGCAGTGGAAGGGGACGTTATCGCGACAGGCGAACAGGATCCCACAGCCACGAGCTGGAAAAGAGGCACTCGGGCGGGCAAGCACGGCCTCAGTCAGCCCGGGAACTGAGAAAGGCACGAAGCACAGTCTCACTAGAGAACCCGCCTCTTTCACGGTCGAGTGAGTCACTCATTATGTCAACCCAAGCAAGGACCCATCGCCGTACATCCTCAGTATCCTTCAACGGGGCGATATTCAACATTGGGTCAAGCAGTGACGACGAGCCGGAACGATCATACATGCTTCGTCCCAAACTCACAGGTCACCGAGCGTCCTCGGAGTCATCTTCATTCGGTGGAGCATTTGCGAGCCACGGACCCCGTAGCCCCGTCCGATCCCGACGATCCTCATTCTCTTCTGGCCCGGCCTCCAATTCTTCTGCTACAGCTCGTCGCAGTTCCCCAAAGCAGGTTTATCCGCCGTCGGCTCGCGACCTCTCCATGACCGTACCACCTTCGTCCCGCCATCTGCTCAGCATGACCCCAACGCCATCAGTCCATCCGAGCTCGCCTGACTCCCTAACGCGCAAACAGCGGTACTGAAGAATATACGATTAATTATACATTGTACTCGGTTCCTCGCTTCTTCAGGAGGCATGGGCTGCAGACTCCAGTTTCTTTGACACATACAAGCTCGCCTATCAAATCAAACTAATTTCGTGGCCCCCGTGCGATGTAGGACACTCGGGCCGGAAGGACTTTTGATCCGCGTCCACTCTGTGATTCTGTATACCTGCGGCCTAAGCATCCGTCATGTCTCTCTGGCTCGGCTATATTTCCTCTTTTTGCCTCTGATTGTCTACGAAATGCTGGCATTTACAAAGGGGGTGTTTTCTTTGCAATCCGACGTCCTCATACCAGACCACCTTTGGTATCCTGCTTTGGGTTTCGGTTTTCGGTTTTCGGCATATCAACTCCGCTGGATTCGCGGGTTTTGTTTCTTGCTTTTCTCTTTCGGTTTTGCTATCTACAGCACATGTGCATACGGCGGTTCTATGTATATAGCGGGGAAATGTTCCACGCACATACCGTGGGGCATTGCATCCCTAGATGAAATGGAGTTCCTAAGTTATCATATCTAAAGTTATAGAAAGATATATTATTGTACATATCAAGGTTGATACAAGGCTCCGCCATCAGCGCTAATGGCCCTGAAGCTAACCTGTTTCCGAACATTAGCATCGAGAATATGCCGACTGAGCTTAATAGTCACAAATGAATGCTTGGCGCCCTTGGCGTCCAGCCAACTAGAAAGAAGCTAGTGGAGCTTAGAGGCAAATCAATATCAGGAAACAATCGGCAGTGAACATTTCACATAGGGCCATGGATACATAGGTTTACGCGTCCATACAATCCATGGACAATAAACTTCGAATGTCCATACATTGAAGCTAAACATGAAAGTCCATATTTTACCATGTTCAAGGGAAAAAAATGCAAGTGTCCACCAACGTCGATCCTATGTCACGGGGTCCACTGTGGGCCAACTGACCCCGATTCACACCAGGGCTGACGACGACTCGGCCATGGACTGATATTCTAGGCCTTGAAGGTTGTGGCAGGTACGAAACATCTCTCTCGTCTCGAAAAGGAACGGGCAATGCTTTCTATATGTCAGTGGAACACATCACAGCTTGACATTGGGAGACCATTATTGAGTCGTTTTGAGGGCTCCATTGCGGAAAAATCAGCCTAACGTTTCACAGAATTGGACTGAGAGTGTTCCACCTCGCCGATCAGTCGGTGACTATTGGACCGAACTTATCAATCAGTGGCTCTGCCAAACCTTTCCAGCCACCCTGAGTCCACCCTCGTCCGTGGGTACTCCGTACATAATCCGCACATCCTGATACAGGATGTGTATCAGCATTTTGATAGGCACGGTGTGGCGAAACCAATACATATGAAACCAGTGACCAGCCATTTTGGTACGGATACACCCCGATGACGCTAGGGAAACGAGGGTTGATGTGCTCATCGCTGCGATGGTGTGCTGTGGCCTCAAAAAGGGGTAACCTGTGCTAGGCGCCCTGAAGTCGAGTGAGAACAAGGTTCAGTCTCGGCCGGACCCCGTTGCGAGCGTGGAAGGTACGAACCATCCGAAGGGAGGCATTTGATACGGTCAGACCATCCCGGCAATCATTTGCGTTTTATGCTATTCTGCACGCGGAAGATGATCGTCGCGCTATTGTTTGGTACCTGGCTGTGGCGTCTGTGGCCCAACTGTCGATACTTGCCTCGAAGACACAAGAACCACTTTTTATGCGTTGGCTGGCCAGCGAAAACTTCAAGAAAAATACCTCAGCCCCAGGCCATGTGCTGCTACCCGCCTTGGGCCTGGTCCCTGACGACCCTAAGGTCCCTCGAGTTAGGATCGACGAACCCACCTCGACCGTTCTAAGTATCCTCGTCCGGCCAGTCCACCTTCCAGCCTGCCCAGCCTCCGAGGCAACCCTGAAGTCATGGCCCGATCACGGAATCCACTTCGGCCTTGGACCAAGCTCAACAACCCTGATAAGTCGGCAGTCTTATAAACCCGTCCTCGGCCCTCCGAGATTTTTCTTTAAGCCATAAGATCTGTCTTTGATATACCACCCATATATCTGAGTCTGATTTTCGATACACCTTTCTGCTTTCTCTACTTTGATATATCTTCCAATTAATCCATACCAATTACAATGAGATACACCGGATTCGCTGCTATGGGCATGATGGGCTGTGCCCTCGCCCTGCCCCAGGGTCCCCCTGCTTTCATCAGCGCCCCTAGTGACGCGCCCATCCCATGCAGCTCTTCTCCCAGCGGCACTCCCACTGGCACTCCCAGCGGCACTCCTAGCAGCACTCCCACCGGTATTCCCACTGGCCTCCCCTTCGACAAGCGCCAGTTCCACCACGGACCTCCCAGCGGTTTCCCGACTCCCACTGGTACTCCCTCCGGTACTCCTTCTGGCACTCCCAGCGGCATTCCTACCGGGTTCCCCACCAATTTGCCCTTCTCTCTTCCTTTCGAGAAGCGCCAGGAATTCCCTACCGACCTGCCTTCCTCCTTCCCCTGCTCCACCCCCAGTGGCTTCCCCACTGACTTCCCCGCGCCCACCGGTCTCCCCTTCGAGAAGCGCCAGTTCCACCACGGACCCGGCCATCAGGGCCCTCCTCCCATCGTCTTCTCGAATTCCACTGTCTCTCCTTCCTCGAGCTTCCCCACCCCCACCGCCACCCCCAGCAGCTTTGAGAAGCGTCAGTTCCCCACAGACCTTCCCTTCTCTATCCCCAGCAGCATCCTGAGCGCCTTCCCCACTGGTTTCCCTACCGACCTGCCCTTCTCTCTGCCTTTCGAGAAGCGCCAGGAGTCGTCCACTGGCTTCCCCACCTCCACTCCCACTCCCTCGCCCTCCCCTATTGCTCAGTAAATACTGAGTAGCTGAGCGGCTGAGTTGCTCGCCTTCTACTGCTGCGCTGAGTTTAGTCTTGGGTCCGTGAGATGAATTGATGTCACCCAAGACAGCTTTCGCGCTTTGTACATATCGTACAGTGGAGGCGAGGGTTTGATGTATTGGGATTGATTGACTCAAGTGCCCAGTACTGTATACTATACAGGATATATGGGCTATGGGGCATGGTATAGATTGGTTGGAATGTCTTTCTTTTTTACGATTCGAGTCTGCGACACGATTTGTTATTTGTTATGAATTATGCGCAGGCTCTTTTGGTAGTTTTTAGGTTTAAATATACTTTTTCCACATTGGAATACACACTCGTTTGATCAGTATCAGTGCGCAGATCATAATTATCGCAGTTATTTGTAGCTAGTTCGACTTTTGGTGCGAAAAGTATGAGAACAGTGGCTACTAAGAGGCTGGAGGATGCCCCATTCAACTACAGAGCATGTTCCATACCAGAGAACGGCATGTTTATATGGACTTATTTATCCAGCATTATATACACTTGATTCCAATAGAGTTGCCAAAAAAGTCACTAGAGACGCCTGGTGCATCAGGAAAACGCCCTTTTTTCCCTTCTCCTCGGCATATCGCATATACACGTGGATCCACGTACGGATATAGTATAGAGAGAAACGAAAAAATCGTATTCCCTTAGGTCTGTCTTCCTTTTCATTCACGTCCAACTGTGCCTGATCGTTCCTACCATTGTGATTGGGCGTTGTATTAATCACAACAAGCTGATCAGTGTCTTTGGAATAATGCAAGGGTACAAAACTACACAACAGTGGGTGAAGACAACACACGAATGACAGCTCTACAACTATCGACAGCAGCGCCATCCGTTTGCAGTACCCAGAAAATATCTCAGTAAATCTAATAAGCTACGACATATCTTCTGGGGGTAGTGAGCACCAGACGTACATTTTATGAGGCAGGATCCGGGCCTTCATTGGCTTAATCGAACCTCTCTATGGTGCGCATGTACTATTTGGATATGCTTTCCCTTGAATTTAACATCACTTCCTAAAGTTACTTGCCCTTTGGCGTTAGCTACCTCGAATTAGCTAACGCCTAAGGACATTCTCTTATTTTTACGTTTTTGACGTATACTTGGCCTACCGTTTGTTTTTGGTCTTGACCTTCTTTTTGTTTGCGTATTCACTTTTATCTCAGTCTCCCCGCCTTCTCCCCGCCTTTTTATCTCCTATTTTGTTTGCATATTTCGATTGTTTTAGGCTTAAGAAGAAAGTAGAAAATAAGCTTGATTCATCCATGGATGACTACCGGGATTAAGGTTTAAAGTGGGGTTAAGGTGGGGACCTCGGGATGCCCCCTGCAGAAATGCAAGAGCCTCAAGTGAACCACCAGTGATGGTACATGGCCCATGTAGATATGTATCCAGGCTATTATAGTACCTGCTAAATCTCTTTTTGTCAATGGCCTGACCCAAGAACACCTCTGCTGCCATCGGGCTTGAAACTCCACACACATGTCAGTGACCATGCTGAGTATAGTCCCCCAAAGAATCCATCCATTTCAGCTCCAGAGGTGATTTGCAACAAAGTACCTAGAGCCAACCAGAGAGCTAAGGTGTATGCACTTTAAATGCCCAAGGAGGTGGGATATCCAAGCAGGATCGTCCGTCGACGTCTCGTCGACACGCCGTAGCTTCTCGACGCACTGGTCACTACAAAGGAACTTGACTCTGATCCCGAAAACGCATAGACTAACCAAGAAATTGAAGACGACCATGTATTTGAAGGGCAATCCATGGCCCAGCTCTTAGGGAAGAGCGGGGAGCAGCACAAAAGCGAGTGTCTTCACATGTATTGCCTGCCCAGAGTTGGCTGAGTTGAGATGAACAGTCATTCATGAGACCGTGGCCCCTTGTAGATGTACCCATTTCCTCGAGCAAAGAATCTCTGGGGGTCATCCTCGATCTCTTCGCGTCTTAGCGGCTGATCTAATGCTGCATTCGAGACGTCAATTTTGAAAATACGAGAGTTATAGGATAGGAGGAGTGGGAGTACCTGTAGTTTGGAAGTAATGTTAGCCTGTCCATTTAGTAGAGAGGGAAGGGGCTTGTTACCTGCAATATCTCACTAACGGATCAATGGGGAGGTGAAGGTGGCTCAGTCAAGTCCCTAATAGAAGTTAGTGTCTCGAGCGGATACGCTGGCTCGCCCCGGTTGATGCTACTTGGACTGTTATAAGTTTTAAAAGTCTGAGTGTTCTTGGTTGTGTATTTGAGATACAGATAATAATACGGAGATGATGGTTCTCCAGGGCTCTCGCATGTACCGTATTAGGCAGTCTGTCGTATTGGTACTGGGGTCAATACACAAGTGCTTGTTATAGTCCAAAGTTGAACCTCCCATTTGCTCGAAAGCCACAGATATAAAGGTTTCTCCTGTTTGTTTATTCCTGTTTCTTCCTGTTCCTTTCTTCTCTTCCACACTTGTTGCTTAGCCTTTCACCTAACATAACAAGCACTTTTATCCACCCACATCTTTCATCTCAAACTGATTCTTCATCACATATTCAAATTTACCAAAAAAACGAATGAACTCCACCATGGACTCTGCAACTAAGAAGCAAGAGGACCCCGCCTCCACCTCCTCCGCTCCCACCTCCACCTCCGCTCCCGCCTCTCCCTCCGCCCCGGGCCCGGCCGCGACCTCCGTCTCTCAGGAGACCGAGGCAGTGCCTAAGGCCAGCGATGAAGAGTTCATGCTGACTCTTCTCAGTCACGCAAAGGTCAGTTATCTCTCACTTGATATCCAACCGCGGGACTGTAGATTATGCTAACTAAAGTTCACTACAGCTCGACATGACGGCTGCTGCGAATGAGCTTCGGATTACCAAGGCCGCCTGTCGGATGCGTTTCATCCGATTGCAGCAGAAGTACGGTTTCAAACAGGTTGGCCCTAAGCGCACCCCACGTGGAAAGAAGGGAGCTGCGAATGCCGATAAGAAGGCCGGCTCCACTAGCGAGGTGCCTGCTACCTCAGAGGAGGCAGATGCTGCGGAGAACAATGCCGAGGACGCCGATGTGAAGGAGGGCACCGAGAACTAAGAGGCCCAGGGCCATTTGGAATGGCCACAGCAGTGGCATTCCTTGATCACTCGGAAAACAAGGACTGGATGTGGAGGAGTACTTTGACTGCCCAAACACCATGTGACAACAGAATAAAGCTTTGAGTTTGACCTCACAATTTTATCACTCTCACTTGTCTCCCTCACTTCACTTGAGTCCTTCAAGATTAAATCTACATATAATATCGTAGCGTTGTAGTTAATTGATACCCGCCCAGGTCGTGCAAAGTATGGTGACACGCACACAGCCCCTGCAGTAGACCCATATTCTGCCGAGTGCTGGGGCTTTCGATTTAATTCTCTCGACTTGGAAGGAAATTGGTACTAGGGAACGGCAACTTCAGCCATTTTAGGCTGGAAAGATATCACAAGCATAGTAGAACCTCCGACCAAAAGGTGGCGCACTTCAATCAGAGGCTCTAATCTCTCAAAATACCGGGCTCGGTTACTTCGGAAGTGTCAACCGTTGGCTCATATTGTACCACCGTAAACTCCAGCAATATACAACCGTTCTTCAGAGTCTACTGTCCAATCCTTTTCTACACTTTAGATGTCTGTGCCCCAAAGATGGCCGAGAGAAGGTCTCAAATGACTATAGTTATCTAGCCTGCTTGGTTTGCTTTTGAATGAATAAGTCCTTCTCTCTTTTACTTATCAGGGAAATCTTCGCACGTCAACTTGCTTATTGGAGCTCCACACCTGTCTGAAAGCCTTATCATATGATTCCATACCTCACTTTCATGTTTCTATTCCCGATCTGTCTCCTTGAGATTATTATCATGAACACGTTTTATCTCCACCAGGGTCGATGAAATCGTTCAACACAGCTCTCAAAACATGAAAGCCAGGGCAATGCCCACAAAGTCAGTGGCCTCTTACTTTGTACTTGGTGACCTCTTACTCGGTGCTTATTGTTGGATATTGACCTCTATTAAATGTGAATGTCTCCAGATCATCGTGATCGTCACACTAGAGGGTGACCTCCTTTTCATCCAGGTGCACATATTCAAATAATATGGTTACCTCAAGCCCCTGCCTATATCGATAATGCCGGATCACTCTGTGCCCTCTTCGAACGATACAGCCCAAGTCAAAGTTGAAACACTCAGCCTCGAGCGTCACTTTCGAGTACATATTGTTTGGGTAGTTGTGTGGCCGACAAAGAAAGCACTATTGGGCTGCGCATACTGCTAGTCAGAAAAATTTCTTTCTAATAAACAACTAAAAGACTTTAGGACCTACAGTTGCTACTGTAATATGGAGATATCAGGATGGGCTGTTCAATCATCTACTGGGAGCCCATAACAGTGTTCTTTTGACAAGATTTGGGGTTTTCGGTGCCATGCCCATGCCAAGCAGCAACGACACCAAGATCAAGCTCCAGCAATATCAAGTCGGGTTAGAGTCACATTTAAATCAGACCGAGTCTTGCTACTTTCTACTTTTGCACTTCACGGGTACAAAATTCTCTCTCCTTTCTTATTCGATAAAAGATTGCCCACCCTTTGGCTTCATGCTTGCTTTGTGTCTACACCTTTTTTTACTTCTTCACCTCACATATCTCTATAGGTTGTCGCATTTAATTCATTCAAAGAATTTATATTCCTCCTGTTGATTCATGTTTTCAACTTCAAGGGGCCAGCCAAGGTCATAGCCTACTCAATATAAGGGTTTCTCAAGGACGACGGTGTTCCTTTTGTGGCTATAAAACCTAGTGGCGCCCAGGTTAGTCTTCCCTCACTTACTTGTTGACTGTCTCTTGATCTTAATTTACACTCATCGTGGTTTCCTCTAGTTCACCTATGAGACTGTCATGAAGGCCCTCGGGGGAAGAGTGACGACGCTGCTCGCATGTGAGCCGACTGATGAAGAGAATGGAAGAATCTCTCAATGGGTGAATCACGTATCCAAGCCACTGGCTTTTACTAGGAGCACATATCATAAATGCTTTGAAAAACGTTATGGCAAGCGGACACAAGCAGCCTACGAGAGATAAGACTGCTGCTAGTGACTTTCCCATGAAGAAAAGCAATTGCATGTGGAAGTTTTCTTAAATGTCAAGGTGACTTGTTTCTATAGTCGACAGACCTTGTTCCGGCATCAAAGTCAACTTGGGGAGAGGAATCTCCCTTGACCCAGAGCCCGGCAACGACAACGACAACCGAGACACCAACGCCTCCTCGGCCCCGTCCACTTTGTCAGCTACCTCCGGCTCGTCGGCGTCTCCTACTATCACGTTTGCAACCACAGCTACCCGCGGACAGAAGCGGAAATAGGTTAGCCCCACAAAGAACATTCGCGAGGTTCTTGGTTTCAGTGCCATCCAGAAAAACTGCAATCCCATTGACAAGATCTCGAAAATGGTCAGCCCCATCAGCACTAAACAGAGGCAGTTTGACAACCCGGAAGCTCAGCGGATCCTACGAGCCGGTGAGGGGCTGGCAAAACACCGCGAGGAATATCAGACGTTGACGGTCGACCCGTCGACTCGCTTGCAAACCAGGGAGTATTGGACAAAATAAAGCCTACGACTGGGGCGTGTCTGTTGTCTCTTACATACCATGTGCCTCAGTCTAAGGTCGAGAAGACGCGCGCTCCGAGGGCCACTCAGAAGAAGAACGTCAACTCAACTTCCATAGTCTACCTCTTCCAAGGGTAGTTTTAGCAATCGCTCAACTACTCAGTCATCTGATCCCACATCTCCACCATCTACCTAGACGTCTATATAGATCTCTCCTGACAAAGACCTTCACCAAAGACGAAGTCTTCCTTTGCCCCGTGATAAAAAAATGGCGGCACCAAGGTCTATCATCCCTCATTTGATTCATATATTCTTTTAGATCTTAATTTATATTGACCGTGGTTTGGTTTTTTCTCTAGGAATATGCTGCGAATTTGGCGTTGAAATGACGGTGAAGAATTTAAATTGTGTACATTTGGGTTAATGTTAAGTAATCGATTCGTTCTAATAGTGCATATGCATTATTTCATGTAGATGCATATCGTAATGACGCTCAACTACATGATCTGAAACATTGCAAGTTGAGAGACCCTGGGGTTTTACTTTCGGCTGCGCGGTTGTACTTAACGCTTGTATGCAACCTTGGAATATTCAATTTCTAGGCCTAGAGTAAGGTAGGTATCCCGAGATCACTTTTGCATTAGTAAGTCCAGTTTCATATGAATGATAATTCCAAGGATTCTATAAATATCATTAATTAGCTGGATTTGTTCATGGTGTGTTACATTCGCCCTGCATATGTATAGCGTGGCCTCGAAAATAATAAACGTCAAACAAAACGAAATGGCATTAAAATTTACAAATAAAACTCGCAGTATTGTTTCCCATCTAGTTCAAAATGAGACTCACAATATATTTACACAGTAACCAAAATATGTAGTCATGTAGTCATTGAAAAGACATTTTTGGAAAATCGTGGACGAATACTTCCCGATGTTACTTTGTGCATGGTAAATTGCAGCTAATTGACATCTATTTTAAGACCCAAAGCGGCCGATATGCAAGCTAATTAAGGAACAATACTCCCCTGTCAAGCACAGACAGATCTCCGCTGCCTGCATCACCACTCGGCGGTAATGCACAAGCCCTATTGGTCGTTACTGTCAACAGCTACAATGAAGAAGATCCCAAACACCTGGGACAAAGCGCTTTCGACATCACATAAAGCGGCACCCTGGTGAGACCAAGCTTTATATCCGGACGCCTTCCGCCGAAATGAAGATTCGTTTTCTCTCTCTCAGACTGGCTTGAAGTCCCTGGTGGACTCGCACTTGCTTTGCTTTTCTTTTGCTTTTCTTTTGTTATTTTCAGCTCTATTTTTGCAAGGATTCAGTTCACTAGCCCCTCAATTGCCCCTCAAGACCCTTGTTCGTCGTCATCCAGGCTACCCAATCCGTGGCTTTCCCACTGTTTGTTTCTGGGTGATTGCAGAAAACAGGAGATTTGCTGTGAAAGTCACCAAAATCCGGTTGCTCTGCCGACTTGCAGATTTGTCGGCTGGTCCTCGTCACTGGTTGTTTGCTGGTTCTTGTTAGAACGCATTAATATCAACCCTGTCCACATATTTCCCCCGCTCGATTATTACTCTCCCCCGTTAAGCGAATGTCACCTTTTGTTTCTGCTAGGGGGCGATATAAGAGAAGTACGAGTCGGTACCACACACCTTTTTCATACACATCATGGCGGGAATCGTCAACGGACCTCTTTCTCTCTTCCGCAAGTCGGACTCTACGAAACCTCTCCATGCTCGATGGGGGGATGTGTCCATCTCAGTGCCCACAGATGGCTCATGGAATCAATATGACAATCCCCACCGACCAGTCAAAGAGAGATCATCATACGGGCCAGGCTATGTGCCGGACTGCTCTCCGCAAGACCGGAATGCCCACCAAGTGAAAGAGGACGACCAAGACGATGACGACAAAAGCGTCTGCAGCGAAGCTTCAACAAGCTCACGGCGGAGCTCACTATCTTTCGGGGGCCTCCGACCGGGCCGGCTTTCAGTGCGCCTCGCCTCGCGTCCCAAACAACTGCGGGGCGAATCACAGATAGAAAGAGACGCCCAGCGCTCCGAGCAAAAGCGAAATGAGTTTGCATATCGACCAATTCAACAAGACTACACCTCCGAACTAGTCGAAAATGCCACTCAGCCCAGCAATCGCTTCAGGTACATTCCGACCAACGGCCAGTACCGTGAAAGCTCAGGTGCTGAGACTCCGCGCAGCCAATCTGTCAGCTCGCCCCGCAGCCCCTGGCGGCGCAGCTCGGTCCCCGAGTCGAGTGATCGGCGATCCAGCGGTCGCGATCGCGATCGCGATCACTACACTCCGAACGTCCGAGTGAGCACCTACCACGAGGATGACCGTCGCAGTAGTCTATATTCTACTAGCATTGGTGATAGCTCGGACAGCTCTGGTTCGCGACGAAATTATGGGCTGCCCCCTAGACGGCGGACGTCACCTTTTGTTGCGGCTGATCGCAGGGCTTCTGCAATCTCGAAGCCTCTGACAATGGCGATGGTTCCTGATCCTGATAATCTCTATGAGTAATGTGTCTCTTTTTTCTTTCGGTTTTGAGATGCGTTCCGATTTTTCAGCATCATTGCACGGTGTTAGCAGGGTATTTTTGGTGGTTACTGGCCTTCTAATAGCGCCTCAGAATGAAACCATTTATTTATTTTCCCATTCGATTTCTGTTTTGATAAAAGTAGCGTTGGTAAATCTTATTTTAAGTTTAACTATGGATTGTTTACTTCATTAAAGTATTCAACCTTCATCTTAGCCCTCCAGTGACATACAGTTCAAGCACCTAGTAGGATTCCAATTGGTGGACCATTTCACCATTCTATGATGGAGTTTTGGTCTTGGTCTTAGGTGGCTGCCAGGTAGTTTAACGCTTGGGGCGACAGTCTTTCAATATATCACCATGACGGCATATCAACGTCTTTTGCCCCAGCCAATAGAGAATACTGTGCAGTAGCGGCGATTTGAAGCAATTTAAGTGCTGAATTGAAACGTTGCACAATAAGTATAGACAGCTCGATATCTCAATATCATCTTGACCACAATGGCAGACGCAGTAGTCCAACTTCGGTGTGGCGTCAAGGCAAGTATATCCTGCCCAGATATTTTGCACCAATACTGACTTACCCTGGATTAATAGAACGACGACTGGGGAAAGAAAGGAAAAGATTCGATTGTAGCTCAGCTATGGTCAAAAACCCCAAACAATGCAGCAATTGACGACTCTAAGCATTATTCAGAGGTAATATTTTCGGAATTATCGACTACTATAAGCACAGTCATATTGACTTGTCACCAGATGTGGATGGGCACGTACCCATCAAACCCATCCTACTTGCTTTCTACGGGTGAACACCTCGGAGAGTACCTGAAGAAACACCCCGAGCTAGTGGGCAAGTCTGTTCACGACCGATGGGGTCCGGAGATTCCATTTCTGCCAAAGGCAAGCGCAAAAGCCAAGAATCTTATTGTGTAGCCACATAGATAACTAACATTACTCTAGATTCTATCTTTCAGCAAAGCTCTGCCCCTACAAATCCATCCAGACCTGAAGCTCGCCGCCCAACTTCACAAAGAACACCCCGAGAAGTATGGCGACACAATGCACAAGCCGGAGATTGCAATTGCACTCTCAAAATTCGAGCTCTTCGCCGGCTGGAAGCCCCTGAAAGATACCCAAGCGCTGTTCGAGTTGAACCACCTGGCGAAATACATCCCCAAAACAGGAAAATTCAACGACGAGACCCTACGCCAAGTATGCAAGTCTCTACTCAGTGCACCGCCGAAAGAAGTCGCACAGACAACGAAAGACCTGCAAGCCATCCCAGAATCCCAGTTCGGCGCACACACCTACATCCCAAGCCTACTCGGCCGTCTAGCAAAGCAATACGGCGAAGGCGATAACGGAAACCTAGTCGCCGCCCTTCTGATGAACTACTTGACTCTAGGCCCGGGTGACTCCGTCTTCGTTCCCGCAGACAGCATCCACGCCTACTTGGAAGGCGATATCGTGGAATGCATGGCACGGTCGGATAATGTCATCAACACAGGGTTCTGTCCGGCTGCAGACCGCGATAGTGTCGAGTTGTTCGGGCAGGCTTTGAGCTTTGTACCTCATAACGCAAAGGATGCGCTGCTGCCGCGCAGAAAGAGTGACAAGGGCTTGAATGGTAAGACAGATGTCTATGCCCCGCCTATCAGCGAATTTTCTGTGCTGTGTACTACTCTTGGCGCTGGGGAGAACGAGACGCACAAGGCCATTCTTGGACCGAGTTTAATGATTGTTACGAAAGGTTGTGGTCAGATGAAATTCCCTGGTAATCAGGTCGCTGAGCTAAAGGAGGGATATGTTTTCTTTGTGGGGCAGGGTGTTGCGTTGGATTTCGTGACTGACAAGGGCATGGCTGTTTATCGGGCGTATGCGGAGTAAGAGACTTAGGGAATTTGGGAGTGAGTCATATTTGTGAAGGCAATACAAATTGTGTGATATCTCGGAAAAAAGGAACAAAAAGAAACTTTATATTTTGAATATTGGGGATTGGAAGATTGATATAGGGCTTGCGTTGTCTCATATTGTATGCGGGCGTTGAAGCACTAACTGTGAGGTTTTCATATTTGGTAAGAGACTTTCAAGATGTAGAGGACACCATGAACATAGACATGGACACTGACAGCTCATCAACACTCATCACACCTTGTAGACCTTGCAAATCTTTCATAATCCCGGGCAAACAAGCGGTGATGCCATTGTCATTTATACTAGGTTGTCGGATTAAAAGGGAGACATCATTTGCTGATTGCGAGGCGCTTTCCACGAACCAGTCAACGTACAACAACATTGTTGGTGGCGGCAAATACATTGATGTGATTACTTCACAGATGCAGCAGTTTTAATTTAGAAATTAAGGCGCATTTATAAGGGTCTAGCCCGCCGGATTAGGTGGCTTATGCAGGTTAATGCAGGCTAATTGAACTAATGCTGGCTAAGCTTGTCGCTTTTGGCGAATCTATCTATAGATTTATAGCTAATTGATACTATCTTTATTCTTCCCCGCGAGTCGCTCAAAATATCTTGAAACAGGGACCGTGTGTCAGGATGGGACTAAGCTTCGATGATCCGTTTCAGGGTCTTATATATCTATATCCTCGCATTTTCACAACATGGATTGTTCTTAGCATCGGTTCACAGGATTGAGGCTCAATTCTAGAGTCTGGTCCTAATACAAGATCGAGGTCAAAGTTGTCTTGACTTCAGCTCTTTGTTTACCTTGGGATATCTATACCCTGCATGTCCTCGCCCTGAAAAACGCATTCCGGTTGAATTCTCCTTCAAGTACTGGGATATGTCAATTAATTATTCTGTTGGAACCCGCTCTGATAACAACACTTCTTCTCGCACCCCTGTCATTATCATTGGCGCAATAGCTGGCGGCCTCATCTTCCTAGCAAGTATGCAGCCCAGGCCGGAACCTCGCAGAAGTAAACTAACCTAAACCAGTGGCTGGAAGCTTACTATATCTCTTCTCGCGCAAAGAACGGGCCAGAAGAAGAAATGCACAGTCCGAAGACTTCTCTCCTCTCGAACCTCCACCAGCCTATAAAACGGATGAACTAGGCACACCCCGAGGTCTCCACTCCCAACCTCGGCCCTTGTCTTCCTTTGCGCCGGACTACAGTCGCCAGGCCCAACATGCGCAACAATACCAACAGCAGCTATCTCGCACTTCATACGAACAACCCCCGGCATACCCCACACTGCCAACATATGATCCATCACGATACCAACCTATTCGGCCAACGTCCATGGGCGATTTCAACGCCCACAACTATACCTATAACCCCGCTCATGCCAATCCACATCCTGGTCCCTCTTCCCGCTTGAGTGCAGTTCACTACAGTGACGCTAGACTAGCTTCCCGACCAGTATCAATGGCCGACTATGGTGCTCCAATTGGTCCCGTAGCTGTTCCAACTAGGCCGAGACGCCAGGCAGCTATCCCACCACCGGAACAGAACAGGCAGGAGCGCAGGGACAAGAGGGAGAGAAGTGCATCGGAGCCAATGCTTTCGGCCCAGGCCGCCCCAAAACAGCCTAAACCCGTCTTGTCGCGGCTGATCACCAATTTCCGTTGAGGTTGTGACAGTGGCTTGGGCTTGTTTCTTGTTTTTACGACTATCACGACATGGTGTTTTCTTTTTGGAAAATGTGACGGGGGGTTATTTGTCATTTATTTCATTTTGTTTTATTCTTTCTCAAAAATCAAATCTTATCACTGGTGAATAGTACTCCGTTATAGATAAATACATTTATAGCGTACAGAGTACAGAGTAGATCATTGACAGACACCTGGTCTGTGCTATGATCTCCATTTAACGATCATCCCGGGTTTTCCCTTTTCACACCCTCAGCGCCTATAATTGTGCATTGATATATCCCTGGCTCAAACGCCTCGGTGGCGGAATGATAACCCCCTGGTGACTGTCTAATATAATTCTTTCAAGAAAGTGCACCCTTTGAAGTACTTTTTTGTCCTTGGAATTTGTCCGTTTACGTGGACTCGACTGTGAATATTGATCCTTCCACTCCACTTCGTTGCAGGGATTCAGATGCGTCACAGTGAAACAGTGCTTTTTTGCTCCTTTTCGTCTTGAGAGGAGCCTACCCCCTCTTTTGATCCCTGTCCTGGCCTTTCCCTTTCTCGTCGCAATGACTGGCCAAGCAGAGGTTTGGTTTACCGTGCCTATCACGCATTTTATTGCATCCCTGAATTCGAGATAAACCTGTAAGTCAAAATGTCCCCTCCGATCTATCGATGGTCTTTGTTGTGAGTGCAGATCCTTAGACAAGCGCCATGCCAAGACGACGAACGACGAGGATGCATTGATAGCGACACACTTTATGCAACCTATGGCCGACCCGCGTCAAGTCCGTCAAACGCAAGTTGACTGCGCCGCAACTCATAAATGACTATCTACCTCGCTGAGAATGACCAGGGGGGCAGGGATTGTAAATTTACTACCCCTCCCATATGCGTTGCCTACGCACACTGCAGCTATGGGAGCCTCTCATAGATGGCCCGCCTAGATCACTTAGCGGGCCAACTGTTGACCTTGTGGCACTTTTTTTTTTTTTTTTCCTTCGAAGCGCTGTTGTTTGTGCGAGAGACACTGTCTTGATTCTTAGATTCCGCCCCCGGGGGCCACCAGCAGAGGGGTACCAGACCATCGGGTTGCCTGCCGGGTCTCTAATCACTCGCTGGGTCAGTTGGTTTCCAGCACCATCCCCGTCAAGCACTTCATTCAGAAGATCTTCGCTCTTTTGGTCAACCAACGGATATGCAGTGGTTGGCTAGTGCGCCTCTATGGACGTCTCGTTTTGATATAACTTCAACACACGCGGGCGATCTATCTGCCTTGGTCACCTTCTCTCTACCCCCCTTTGTTCCTCCATCGGCTGTGCTTGACTTGTTTCCCTGGGGAGAAAAACCCATGTTCTCTGTGGGGAGGTTGATAAGTTTTGAGATGAGCACGGCTCTAGGGAGTGATTTGTCCTCCCTTCGGTATATTTGACCCCCGAACGCGTCACCACTCCAGCCCCCATGATTGATTGTTTAAAGGCTATGGCGACTTTCATGAAGAAGTTCAAAAGGAAGCGGAGAGTGTCCACAGAGCTCCACTCTCGCTGGGGTGATGTTGCTATCACCTATCCCACACAAGGGTCCTGGAACCAGTGGAATCAACATACTGGTTACGCCAACAAGTCAGCAAGGGCATCTGAAGAAAATCAACAATACCCCCCGGCTGGCCCAATACACCGCTCGAGTTCTGGCACCTCAAGCAGACGATCGCGAAGCATAGGCACCCGAGAATCCCAAGTGGGAGACCCTCCACCATTTCCCACTGGATATTTCGACCAAAACATTCGGCGTCGCGTGGGAGATTCCCACACACCGCCATCCCATACATCACCAGGTCAAGGACTTGGCCTTGGTGATCTGAGCGGTGGGCCCCATCGCCGACCCCCAAGCTCTATCATCAATGACGAATGCACTACGGATGAGTCTTGCGACGATGAAGAAGAAGAGGAGGAAGAAGAACGAGATACTCTGGGCCCACGAATTCAATTAAGCCCTCGAGAATACGGCATGGGAGATGTGTCACACACAGCACGCGACAATCCCGAAGATTTTGATATCCCAGCCAAGTCTCCTCCGCTCTCCGTGACTTCGCGTATGCGCCGTTGCAGTTTGCAAAGCTGTGCAACAGAACCCACAGCATCTATATCTGGTGGCACCAACTCAAGACGAACGAGCTTTACCGCTGCTTCCTCTATCTCTGCTCCCTCTATGCCACCCTCTACACCTCGCGTTGCGTACACCCCAAAGCAACCTCCCCCAGAGAAAAGATACCCTCCCCGTACAAAACGGGAACCCGAGTCCGCGCCTCAGGAAATGGTGCCTTCCTATGATGAGCTCTATGGTTGATATGTCCTGAGCAAATGTTCAACTAGAATTCTATATGTGGTGGTTTTTTGTATTTGGTTTTTTCTGTAACCAATCAGCCTTCGAGTCTTTGGAACTGTCGCCCGTTGGACTGGATTCGAATTTTATTAATTTTGCATGGCGGCTTTAGTCAATTTGAGTTATTTCGTATAATTTGAAATTTCGAGGAAATTTAATAATAATCTCTCCATACTTCGTACAATATCTTGGATCCTACAGAATCCGGAGCCCTGTCTACTCCCGGCCCTAACAAGAGGGGGTCCTCTTGGCAGATCACAACTTCAAGAATTTTTTTCCTCTTTTTTTTTTTTTACAGTCGTAGGATGCCGACACCCGTCTCCGAACAAGTCCTGACCGGATTTTGCGATTTTACTCAGATGAGGGGGTGAATATGCGCCTGTCCGTGCATCCTGCAGCCCGTATCACAGTCACAATCCGCCTCTCACCAATCAACCATGAGAATTCGTCACACTTTGTACACCTGCAGGATATCCACTGCAAGCAGGATGACGGGGCGATCACTTCATTCCTACCAACCGTTCCTCGATTTCCCAACCAAGGTGCAGTCACAAACCAGCCTGTAGGCGGCGTTCTCTAAGCGCCGAGGACCAACACTGAGAGCAAGAGAATGTGCCTGATTCGATCCGCACATCCTTCCCGTTGCTTCATCCAAGCATTAGTAGCTCTGTAGGTGCTGGGATTGTGCGGCCCTTCCCTGCGCGCGAGCTCAGTCGGCTGAATTACTCCACCAGGTCATCACATCCATACAGAACGGAGTGAGAGCTGCTGGCAGTGAAAAAAAGAAGCTTTCCCGCCTGGGTAAAAATCTCACAATCCAGAGTCACAATTTCGCCGTTTCTCATGCGAATGTGAGATCGATCTATCTGGCACTCTGCCCATTGTCCTCCTACTTCTTCCTTGGCGGTCGCTGTAAGAACAGAAGTTGTCGGACTCTCTGTTCACTTCGGCTCATCATGTTTGGGCTAAACGACGGCAGTTCAAGGTCCTCCAGGATCCTGACTTTTGTCGTGGCTGTGATCTTGCTGAATAGCCCAACTCCAGTGGTTTTCGCATTGAAAACCACACCGGGTTCACCCTGCACAGATGTGTGCGGTAAAACGGCCAACACTACATCTTCCGAGATTGCGTGTTTGGATCAATCGTATAATAAAACCTCAGTGGGGAAAAGTTTCGAAAAATGCATCTCCTGCCAGTTGGATAGCCAGTTCCACGATATGAACACTGGGGAATCGGACGTGAACTGGGGGCTCTGTATGTCGTGCCACCTTCCAGATATCGCAAATTGTGTTTTGTCACTCAGATCTAACCAACTGAACCAGATAACCTGCGCTACGCTTTTTCAACCTGTGTGTTTGGATTTCCAGAGTCGATCTCAAATGTCTCTTCGCCATGCCCAGTCGCATGCGATACCGTGCGTGTAGCAGTCGGGACCCATCTTGAAGACCCAGGCACGTCGAATCTGAACTCGTGGTGTGAAACCAAATCCTTTGCCGATAACGTCGTTGACACCTGCGAGTTCTGCTATAATTTGACCAGCACCCAAGTTTACATGGCAAACTGTACGTATGCCCTGCAAACCATTCCTGTGTTGATGTGACATCAGCAAATCCCAAGCCACTGGTCATCAAAAGAAACCACATCTAACCATAATCCAAATACAGTCCTCGAATCCATCCGCTACAACTGCCATTTCAAGACAGCAACGGGCAAGCCCTTCAACATAGCCCCAACAAGAATCTTCAGCCAATCCCTACTCCCCTCAAGTTTGTCGCTCACAACACCCGGCGCAAAGCATTCAAACTTGAATATGGGAGTGGTGATCGCTGTACCAATCGTAGGATTCCTCATCCTTGTCACGGCGCTCACAGTATGTTGCTTCTTCTTCGTCCGCCATCGACGCAGAAAGGTTGGCCGGAGCCGCCAGTCCCCTCAAATGTACAATCGCTGGCACGAGGCATCTGGTGCCTCGCCGACCAGCGCGCAGGTGCAGCAGCAAGCCTGGGCCGAGCAACGGATGTATAACGCTGGCGTATACGGGCACGGGTCAGGCTTTGGCTTTGTTGATAATGATGGCCGTGGACAGGAGCTTGCGTATGGTCATGCCCAGGACCAACATTATCAAAGCCAACAGTACCAGCAGCACTACCAGAGTCAGGATAAGTCAGGTGTCTCCCAGGATATCATTGAGCAACCTGGTCAACAGCAGTACGAGCAACAGCAACAGCAACAACAGCAACAGCAATACCAGCAACAGCTTGCTCAGCAACAGTATCAGCAGCAGCAGCAGCAGCAACATGCTCAGACTCAGGATCACCCTCAGGTCTTCGACCCGGATCAAAAGCAAAAAGACCCTCAGTGGTAGTGATTGTTGTGATAACTTGTACCTGGTGTTTGCCTTGCTGTTGAGCATAGGTGAAATGGCTGTGGATAGCAGAGTCAGTTGGTGACTTGGATGTAATGAGAACAGGATATCAGCTCACCTCATTTTCGACGGCGTTTGTGCATTTTGGGTTCTTGCTTTTACGGAGTTGTTCTGCTCCAGGATTGTGCCGATATATCCCCGACATTTTGCAATGTCTGCATGGCTTAGTAGTTATAGTCAATACTCAAATGGAGAAAGAGTGCCCACTGAAAATGCCTAGTAAGGTACAATAATGATCCAAAATAAAAGAGCAAGAAGGGGGCACAAAAGAGCAGCACCAAATATCGCCAAAGGGCGGCAGGACGACTTATGTATCCATCGTCCCTAACCGCTCTACCTACATGTACACACATAACATCCCAAAATAGCATTCACAAGCCGCCCAGCAATGCCAACGACGGGACAGAGAAAACCTACGCAAGCCTGTCAGATAATACGAGATGATCGGCTATGAAACCTCTGGGTGACAGCGTCTTGTGTTCCAGCGCTGCTGCAGATTGGCTGGCCGGCCCTGCAGGCGTTTCAGCACGCACCGCCAAGGGTCCAAGGGTCCAATGGGGGATGACAGGGTTGATCTTGAGGTTATTTTTGGATCTGTGGACTTTTGACTCGGGGGTTTAAGTCCTAGAGGGCTTGGTGCTTGGTGCTTGTTGCTTAGGGATATGGGTCGTTTAACTTTGAGTGCTGTCACTTCTATACCACCAGGTATGTAGCACATTGCTTGTTATAGAATCAATCAACTAAAAGAGTTCCAATTTCACTGAGAACATCATAGAGTGAAGACAAAATCTAAGAAAATTGGGGTAAGAGAAGTCAACTGTAAAGGCGGGCCGGTCTACTTTATCTTATCCCCTCACGGAGCTCTTTGACCTTCCACATTCAACCGGCCATGTCGAACCTCACGCAAGAGCAAATTAAAGTCCTTGAGCAATCGCGGCAGCGTCTAGTGCAGCTGACTCGCTCACTAGGCTCGCTGATCGCGAGTCTAAACCAAAGCGACCCTCTTCCACCCTGGTAAGAGCTACCATCCCACCAATTTGACAATAATCTCAATCCCAGACCTAAGCAGCCAAATGCAATGAGTACTCAAAATTACCATACTAACCTAAAATCAGGACCTCCCTTCAATCCCAAGCAAGCATCATCTCCAACAACCTCATTAGCGTCTCCGACCAACTCTCCGACCAACGCGACCTCCTCTCCAATCTAGTTGCCTACCCAGGCCCAGAATACCCGGGCCGAACACAAGCAAACACCCTCGAACAACTTCTACGCACAAAACTCGATCCCCGCGTCGAAGACTGGGTTGCGCGCGGCCGTGCAGCCGGCACAGAGCCCGCCCCAGGCCCGTCGTCTAATTTCTCCGACTCCGATGCTGCGCACAAACCGCTGAGCGAAGCCCAGCTCGCGGAATTATGGGAATGGGCGCCGCTGGAGGCCAACCAGGAAGCGCGGCGGAGGAACTGGGGTGGGAATTTTACGCTTGAGGAACGCGAGGCTGGGATAGAGAACGTTGTTACTGGGTTGAGGAGGAAGTTGGAGGATGATGATGAATCGGAGGAGGAGAGCGATGGCGAGGAAGGGGATGGCGATGAGATGGATGTTGTCGGTGTTCAGCGCAGGCCTGGTAGTGCTGAGTTGGAGTTCAAGATTACTCCTCATCACCCGCGTCCTGTGCAGCCGTTCGTGCCGCTGGATCTTATTTTGAGACATATGACTACTGGGCGCATGCCGTAGTCTCGCGATCTCTAGAGACATGTAGTCTGTTTTTACAGTTTTACTTGGTTCACGGTTCTCCATGAATCTAATTTCTCTAGCTCGTTCCTCCAATTGCATGATTCCAAAAACGGACGGCATTATTACTATTTTAACCAAACCGGAAAAAAAGCCAAGGTAAACAGCAGCTAAGCTATCTAACCGCGTCGGCGGGTGGTGGGTGTCTTCACGCTAGGCCTGGGGGACGCTCCCGTGCTCTGAGCTGATGGGGCCTTCTCAACGACCTTTGCGCGAGGAGCGGCCTTCTGCTTGGGTGCCGGGGCGTTCCAGTACCAGAGCATCTGAATTGCGAGGATCACATTGAGGGAGAAGCCACCAATGAACCCGTAAAGGATAAACTTGTCGTCGACTTCCTGGAGGGTGGTGAAGATTCGGGACATGGATCCGAGGAGGTAGTTGAACACCTGGTTAGAAGAAGTAATTAGTGGCTGAACTAAGATCATATTAAAAGGAAAGGAGAATCGTACCGTGAATGCGCTAAGCTGTCCGGTTCCTCCATTGCGCCAGATGGTATAGATTTGAGGCGCCTTGCTAGCAACACCCAAAGCACCAGCACCAGCCTGCAAGTAAGACATAGTCTGCGCATCCACAAGAGTCTGATCGAACAACAGCGCATAAACGCTGGCAGCTACGACAGCAATAAAAGCCGCCGCCGCGGCGGAGCGTCCGGCATAGTTCAGAACCAGAACACCGATGGCGATATCCTGGACAGCGATGAGAGCAGTCTCGCCATAGGTGCTGAATGGGAACTGGTTGCGCACGCCGTACGAGAGGGTGATGAGCAAGCTAGCGGTTTCGAGGGCGTAAGAGACGAACGAGACACCGGCCGATGAGCGGGAGTTGATCAGCTTCAGAATCTGGGGGATTTTGACGACTGCACTAGCGCCGACGATAGCAATGCCGAGGGCCTTCGAGATGGCGAGTGATGTGCAGGCAGGGTCCTTAGTGACATCGAGGTCGACTAACAGTGCGCCGTGGCAAGATTTCCCAATCAAGGACACAACAGCATCGTGCACTGGCTCGGGAATGGCCGAGACAATAGGCGCCAAATAAGGCTGAAGAGGCGCGATCACTGATTTCTGAATGGTATCCATTTTGAGTGGCGAATAATAAAAAAACAGAACCGTGTTGAAAATCAGGCAATGTCCAGAAAGAACAATTGTTGACATTCTCAAGGTGAACGGATGTGGCCCGTGCACCACCGGGGAAATTCAACTTCTCTCGTTCACTTTTCTTCCTTCTGCATGACCGACCCGCCATGATCCCTCTGCGGCCATCCCTTCTACGGAGGCCTCGAGAGGCAATTTTGTGCACACAATGTCTCTTCGGGCCTCGATTTGTGCGCCCCGAGGGCATTCGGGGGTTCCTATCGTCCTCGAAACGGCGGACCGGGACTGCGGATGACCAGTCCCCTTCGGTATTCCACAAATCATATTTCTCGGCCAATCGATTCAACGACGGGTCAAATAGCAAAGGCGGCTTGCTGTCCTCACTTGCGTCCTCGAATGCGAAAAGCAAATCAACCACTTCATCTCCCAGCGATGCGTACACTAGTCAGGTCAACTCGTCTGCAACAGCATCGTCTGCTGCGATTGCGACAGAAGCAACGCCAGAGGAACTACCACATAGGCGGCGGAAGCGCTTGAAGGAGGAAGGAAATGCAACCGGACAACCAGAACACAGTCTCCCGCTGGATGCCTCGGCGCAATTGTCGAACTTCTCATCCACGCTCCCCACTACCTCCCTCCGCCGCAAGTTGGCTGCATACCTCGCCCTGACGAAACCGCGACTGTCCTTCTTGATCGTCCTCACCACAACCTCTGCATATGGGATGTACCCAATCTCGTCTCTGCTCGCCCTCGACCCGGCCATGACCCCGCTCCCTACACTTTCGACCTCGACCTTGACCTTTATATACCTGACGGCGGGCACTTTCCTGTCTTGCTGCAGCGCCAATACGCTGAATATGATGTTTGAACCGAAATTCGATGCTCTTATGTCCCGGACTCGTAATCGTCCTCTGGTTCGCGGACTTGTCTCGCCCCGGGGAGCTCTGCTCTTCGCGATTGGCACCGCCGTCGTGGGCCTCTCGCTCCTTTATATCGGAACTAACCCGACAACTACCGCCCTATCCGCCGCCAATATCTTCTTATATGCTTTTGTATACACACCATTGAAGCGAATCCACGTAATCAACACCTGGGTTGGCGCCGTGGTTGGTGGTATCCCACCACTCATGGGATGGATCGCCGCAGCAGGCCAGACGGCGACAATGGGTCATGACACATGGCGCGACATGCTCTTCAGCGAACAAAGCATTGGAGGATGGCTGCTAGGTGGAATCTTGTTCGCCTGGCAATTCCCCCACTTCAACGCCCTGTCTCATCTGATCCGCGATGAGTATAAAGCTGCCGGCTACAGGATGCTATGTTGGGTGAACCCAGCTCGCAGTGCTCGGGTTGCTCTGCGATACTCTATTTTGATGTTCCCTATCTCCATTGGTCTCTGGTGGGTTAATGTCGTCGGAAGTGGTTTCCTTGTCGGTAGTACTGTCGCCAATGGCTGGTTGGTCCATAAAGCATACCACTTCTGGCAACATCAGGGTGCCAACGGCACTGCACGTGGCCTCTTCTGGGCCAGTATCTGGCAACTGCCTATTCTCCTGGTCGGCGGCCTAGTTACCAAGAAGGGTCTCTGGGATGGCGTTTGGAGGAAGATATTCGGACAATCCGACGAAGAGGATGACGAGTATCTGTACTACGAGGATGAAGAAGAGCTTGAAGGCGAGAAGGCTAAGGTCCAAGAGGCTGCATCTTCCCGTGCACAATCAATCCAGACAAGTACTTTGTCCACTGCATGAGAATGTGTGAACTACAAGTCTCTCGTGCTGGATATCTTTCAGTTTCATTCATCTGGTGCACTGAGTTATCTCAACTTTTCTATTCGAACCACATTTTGGTTCTGGGATTTTGTCTTATATAGCGGTTTGGAGTGGCGTTTCTTTTTTTGACTTTGTATAACACCTGTCCTATATGGAATCCATACAGATATTTTTGTTCTTGGCTCTTCTTGTTCTCTGCACTTCGAAGGCATACCATAATCTACTAGCTCCTTCCCTTGGAGGCAAATCTGCCAGTCTACACATTCTCATCTGTACTGATTGAAAGAGAACCCTTGATAGGAGGGTGCAGTAACCCTGATTCTCCAACTATACAGCTGAAACTATTGACATAATTCGAAGCACCCCATCGCCATCACCTAGCCGACCAGAGACAGACACCATCAACCTACGAAGAAGTGGAAACTCCAGCAGCTTCAACCAAAAACTTCGCAGCCGCCTCGGCATCAGTTCCATAAGTGATATGCGCCATCGCATTTGCCCCGTTCAAGCAGACGGGGTCACCAAGGTGACAGAATTCCTTAACTTTATCGCTGGCAAGTTTACCGACAGACTGGGTTTTCAAAGGGTCACCGAAAAGAACCGCAGCAGCAATCTGGCCTGCAGTGAGGCTCTTGGCAGCATTGTGAACGACCATCGCACCCTGCGAGTATCCGCCTAGCAAGATCTTGGTCTTAGGGCACTGGCTAAGAGCCTGATCGACGAGCTTGGCCATCACGGGGCCGCCGCTTGCACCCATCAGTGCGTTGCCCTGTTCGAATGGAGCGTTAGTTAACAGGCCTGTTTGTTGATCTCGATAGCAGTACACAGAGACAAGTCAAGTGCCGGGGAGAGGGAATAGGGTGATCATACCGCTGCATCTGCCGGGTATGTCACGCCCTGCACGGTGACCTTGTCGCCGGTCAGTGACTTCAACTGCGTGGCGACGGGTGGTCCAACGACCGAGCCCATATTACCCATCTCGGTAGTTCCGCGTGCAAAGATGAACGTGAATTCCTTGCAGCCCTCATTCTTGGTCACACCATTCTCGGTTGAAGATCCTAGAAACCAACGTTTAGGATTGTGTCTTTGGATCCTGGGGTAGTTTGATAGGGGGTATTACCCAAGCCGGGGATACTGAATCCACTGCCCGACGAGCTGTCGGAGCCGCCAGACCCCGAGAGTCCTGGGATGAGCGACTTCCACGCATCCAATCCACTGCCGGTAGCACTGCTAGAACCGAAACTGGGCAGCTGGCGGTTCTCAATGGTGCGGGTGGGAGCCGCAATGGCAATACTAGCCAAAGCGAGGATGATAGTAGACTTCATATTGAAACGAGGGAATTTATATAAAGAATGGATCTGAGAGACCAGCTCTGCAGGGTAGAACGAGTGAATGAATGGATGAATGGAAGACTAAAGAGGGATGATTCAGTCATTCTATATATGGGGAGATCTCTGCTTTTGTATTCGGCACTTCTCTATTAGGGTGGATAGTAGGGCACGCATACTCGGGACAACCTCGGGAGGATCATGGTCTGAGGATGTCTTAAACCAAAATTTGATGAAACGGGGACCCTGTTTCATCCAACGATCCCTGTAGAATATACTTTTTTTAGTACTGAGTACTCCATATAGTTGGAGAACGTAGCCCTACAAGTGATCTACAATGGATCGCGCGCTCTCCCAGATGTAGTACTTCGATCTCAACGTGCGGACCTTAAAAGAAAAATCCGAAGTTATTTTTCAGAAAACATACCTCTGGTGTATACAACTATCTCTGAGAAATCTTCAGCCGAGGTATCTATACTATGTGCCGAGATGTATCAGATCTAACAAAAGTCCTGAAACCCCCAGGGCTGAAACCCACATGATTTTAGGGTTTGAGACAAATGAAGGTCTCAAAAATGAGGACCAAATCAGGAACTTTGGCCGACTCTAAATGGGTATAGGACATCTAAAAAAAGGCCAGAATGTGTCAAGAATACTACTCTCAGGATTCATATCAGGGGGTTCCTGACCTCTCAATTGAGTGTGATGCTTGATATACCCCTGAGCATCGACCGGGTCCCACTGAGAATCCAGAAACCCCGTGATATGTACTGTATGCTGCGTAATTTGATCAACTTGATGCCGAGAAGAGGATTATGTTATAGAACTTCCTAGACAAATGCCAATGCAACCTCAGGTATAGTACATCGGTATGGTACAAAATGGATCGTCCTCGAGGACAATGTGATATACAATCGCTAGTGGCACCGGTCAATATCTACTTCCTCAATTGCAGGTGATACGTCTTCAATGCCTCCTCGGTCATGGGACTCGGGGCTCCAACCATGGCATCATCGCCCCCCTTGCCGGTCTTCGGGAATGCGATCACATCACGCACGGATTCCTTGCCGAGCATAACAGCGACAAGTCTGTCAAAGCCCAGGGCAAGACCAGCGTGAGGTGGACAGCCAGAGCGAAGGGCATCGAGCAGATGTGAGAAGTCGGTCAACCGCTCAGCTGGCATTTTTAGGATATCACGGAAGATGAATTCTTGCACTGCTGCGTCGTGGATACGGCGACTACCACCGCCTAGCTCGACGCCGTTGACAACGAGGTCGTAGTGGTCAGCCACCACCCGGGTGGGATCGGTGAGGAGGAGGTCGACGTCGGCGGGGGTCTTGGGTGCGGTGAAGGGGTGGTGTGTGGAGGAGAAGCCTGCTGCGCCGCCCTGACCAGGCTCCGAGTCTGAGGAGGGGGAGAAGAGGGGGAAGTCGACGACCCAGAGGAAGTCGAATCCGGTTGGGGCGGGCTTGAAGCCTGTTGAGACCGAGGTAGCGTGGAGTGCACGGCGTAGATCGCCAACTGGGGTTGAACCCCCGGAGAAAGGGGCACGGGGACGTGCCTGCAGGACAATCAGGTCACCGTGGTCAGGGTCTAGCAGTTCCTCGACTTGCTCAGCTGCTTCGAAGCCGAAGGGCTGTAGTCCGCAAAGAGGCTGCTTGCCATTGTAGATGAAGACACCTGGGCCGCCGTCTGGGTTATTGTTGAACGGCGCACCTGCGGCGGAGTCGAGGAACTGGGTAATGAACTTATGGGTTTCAGCGGGATCGTTGTTATTCCCTTCGAGCTTGAAAGCCTCCACGATGGGATCGCTCAGGTCAGAAATCTTGCCGACTAGATCCACGGGAAGAACATGATCAAGTCGAATGATTTCCATCCCGTATCTCGTGTCCGGTTTGTCAGAGCCATATTTGGCCATGACTTCCTGGTAGGGAACTTTGCGGAATGGGCCCTCCGGGGCAGGGTCTTTCATCAACGACGACCAAAGTCGGCGAATGACCCCTTCCACGGTGCGCATGACATCGTCGCCTGTCGCGAAAGACATTTCCATATCAAGCTGTAGATATTCAATTAGCATATATATCACCGATCACCCAACCAAACTATAGAAATTCATACCTGAGTAAACTCGGGCTGACGATCCGCACGCAGATCTTCATCCCGGAAGCAACGCGCAAACTGATAATACCTTGGCAAGCCACTAGCCATGAGGATCTGCTTATACTGCTGTGGGCTCTGTGGCAAGGCATAAGCCAGGCCCTCCCTTCGTGTAGGCACAATGAACTCTCGTGCGCCTTCCGGCGTAGACTTGAACAACAGCGGGGTCTCGATCTCCACAAACGGCGGCCGAGACTGCTCCTCTAGCTCTTTCTTGCAAAGATTATGCGCGCGGGCGCGGAAACGCAGCGCTTCGCGCAGCTCTGCATCCGACCGCAGTTGGAGGTATCGTTGCTCAGGTGGGAACACCGTTTCAGGCGTCATAATTAGATCCTTGGGGAAGTCGTTGAGGGGGTGGATTTCTTCCAGTGCGAGCTCCCATAGATCTTGGGCTGGTGTGTTGTCCGCCTCTGATGGCTTGGTCTTTTTCTTTTGAACTATCCCGCGCACAGCCACAGGGCTGTTCACGTTCACGGTCTTGAGCTGCTCGAAGGCATCGTTCTTGGCGAATGCTACAACTTGTAGGCTGTGTTGCAGGGTGGGATCGGATAGGCGCACGAAGGATAGTTTCTTAGACAGGTCTGCGCGGGTTCCGAGGTACCCATGTAGTACTACTTCCGTGTTTGGCTCGGCTTGTGCAAAGAATGTTTCGAAATCGTGGGTGGCAGGAGGGAAGTTTACTGTAGGGTATCATGTGTTAGTCAAGGCCCTTTCCAACCACGGGGAGAAAAAGCATTTCGGCAGAGGATATTAACATACCAGCCCGCTTGTAAGCCTCCAGAAAAGCAGGAAGCTGTTTAGGAGGCTCCTCCTGTCGCAAACAAGCCCGAGCATGGAACTGCCGCGGCGCCTGAATGGGGCTATAGCATTGTCTGGGACAAGCGATTGATCGACCCCGCAGGAGATTCGAGATCTCAATATAGCTGGATCTCAACCGCAAAGAGCGGAGCTGCACGGCAGCGATTGGCATATTTCAATTGTCGCGAATGCAATTGTAGCCAAACCGGAAGAAAGCAAGTCATCGGACAACCTGATCATTAGAACCGGCAGAAAGCCACCCCGCCCTGGAAGCGGACTAGCGCCCGCAGAAATAAAAACCGCGGATTTTCGCTCGTTTTTCTTTTCTTCTTCATCCTTCCAAGTTTTATACTTGTGAGTATTAATGTTCCCAGCCATTTCAACGGGCATTACACTTCTTGATCGTTTTACTGACTGTTTCCCAGAATGATGAAAGCCTAGTGTGTTATATATGAGACAGTCTCTGTCCTCTGAGACGTGCGGCTCTCTCTCTTCGGAGAGCTCAAGGGCTGTACGAATCGAGGGTAGGGTATGTGATATATGCGTTCGGCATACCAACCTTGTTTACATAACGGACGCGATGAAGGCATCTCTGATCCCATTCACAAGACTTGAAGGTGTGATCATTGGCTTTGGGCCATGGTTTGAGGGTTTCCCTTAAGCTGGAAGATATGGATGTTGGATAGGTGTTGGCAACGACGCCTTTCATGTCTGAGGTCCTCTCTTTCGGCTCTTATATTCGCATCTAGCTAGCTATGCTTTGGTCTTGGGGACTTGTTCCTATGTCTGGGCTATTCTCGGCGGTAGGATTATAATAGAGCCAATTGTCTCCGAGGCATAGTCACCTCAGTCACTGTTGATTCTCTCTATAAACCCACTGATGAGAAGATAGCAGACATTTAAGCAAATATCATGGACTTCACCAAACTCTTCATTTCAGTATTTAGAACTTACATGTATCTCTATCATCATTGGTAGGACGGCAGCTACTGCCTGGACTCGTATATATATCTATGCATTGTTAGTTCTTCTCGTCATGCTGTTTAAATTCCGAATCGCATCACTGTAGTATTCTGATATCCTCGTTTTTCTCCAAACTGGGGTAATTCATACAAAAACAAACCCCTAAGTATGTATACTAGTCCCTAGTCCCCTATAATCGTCTCTCTGAACATCTTATGCAAATATCATTTTCTCCAACACCTCCTTCTCCCCACTATTCTCAACAAGATTCTTGAAGACACCACCCTCAATCCCCATAAGATCCTTTGGCGTGCCAAACTCAGCCGCCTTGCCAGCATCCATAACAAGAATGCGATCGAAGTCCGCAATTGTGCTAAGCCGGTGCGCAATGACCAGCAGTGTGGTGGCATTGCGGCCGAATTCCGCACGGATAGACTGCTGAATCAACGCGTCGGTCTCCATATCGACAGCCGAGGTCGCCTCGTCTAGAACCATGATCTTGGGCCGCGCAACGATGGCACGGGCAAGACAAAGGAGCTGGCGCTGACCTTGGGAGAGGTTAAGGCCACCCTCGGAGATAGTCGCAGAGAGAGAGGTGAAAACGTTTGCGTTAGTCTTCTGGGCCGTCACTGGTGTCGAGGCGCCTGTTTCGCTGGGCTGGCGAGGAGGCGTGGCAGTCCGGGATGTGAGAGTGAGCTCATCGTCGTCGGCCTGGGAGATGAGGTGCACGCGTGCTAGCGCATCGTAGAGCTCTGTATCGCTGTATTCTTCGAACGGGTCAAGATTCGATCGCACCGTGCCAGAGAATAGCACTGGGTCTTGCGGGATGATTGCAAGTCTGCTGCGGAGGTCGTGCAGTTTGATCTTGGAGACATCGAGTCCGTCAATGAAGATCTGGCCTGAGCGTGCCTCCAAGAATCGGAAGAGTGCAAGCGTCAAAGAGGACTTGCCAGCCCCTGTGCGTCCAACGACGCCCACACGCTGGTTCTTCTCCACCGAGAAGCTGAGCCCATTCAATACCGGTGGGAGATCCGGTGCGTAGCCCACCACAAGATCGTGGACTTCGAGATGGCCCTCTGTGGGCCAAGCAGCAGGTGCATCTGCTCCTCCTTGGTTCTCGAGCTCGATGTTGGAATACTCGATTACACGTTCTATGGCGTTCATGTTCAATTCAATGTTAGCGTATTGTCGTAGTGCCATCGTGATCGCATTGTTATACTGCAACGCAAAGCTGAGAGCGAAACCCGCAAGTGAAGCGCTAATACCAGGCAGATAGACCACCAGACCAGCAGTGACGGTTGAGAAGATAGCGCCAACGACGCTCATGCGGAACGCGAGCCAGCGGTTGAACAGCCACAAGGTCCACCATGCCTGCGCATGGCGATTGATCTTGTTGTACATGATTTCGACGTAGGTGTCTGGTTTGCTGAACGCACGAATGGTGATTAGGCCAGCGAGACTAGACCCAAACTGCTCAAACACTGGGCTTTTCGCAGTGCTCTCGAGACGTTTGATCTGACGGGCACCTTCCAAATAGGATACTGCCAGCTTGAGACATACGAGCAACAGGACCAGGCCGAACAAGATCACCATCCAATCGACAAGCATCCCCGCAATCATGATTGCGAGAACATCTAGGATCTTGCCCACGAAGAATCCAACATCGTATCCGATTCGTGAATCGATTGAGTGGAAGTCGGCTGTGAAGCGATTGAGAATTCGCCCCAATGGAACAGTGTCCAGCCACCGGAGTGGCGCGCGGAGGATAGCATAAATCAAGCCATTGAACAAGTTTCTCGAGGCCCGGACTGATGCCGAAAGAATGCAGTAATAACGGACTGTCCCGATTATACAGGCACTCATCGAGATGGCAACATAGACTCCGAGGTACATAAAGAGGTCATCATGTTGTGGGACCGGTGCAGTCGATTGCATGGTATGCTGCAATAGGATATTGTATTGCTCGGGATGGACCTTTGTATTGGAGGATGAACTCGTCCAAATATTGATCCACCAAGACTGTAAATAAGGATTAGTCCAAATAAACAAAATATAGACAATAATATCTTGGGATTTTATGCACTTACCCGTCCAATCAAGAGGGTCGAAAACGATAAATAGACCGCGAGAGTCATCAACCAGTAGACTACGGAGCCACCTTTATTTAAGAAAGCAAGGTACACTGCTAGCCGCACAGAACCGGTTTCTCTTTTTTCGTCTTCCACAAACTTCTTCGGAGTAGTCGTCTGTGCAGTAGCAGCTCCATTTCCGTTGGGAGCTTGGCCATTTGGAGCGGTGCTCGCTTTTTGGTAGGATGTATTGGAGATCACCTTTTGGAGAGTTGTCTCCTCGTCATTGAGTAATTCAGAATCGTCTCCATCTGCTATAAGATCCGCTTGTTCTGCGGCCTGTTCCTCGCGAAGGATATCCTCTAGATGATGTGATTCCCTCAGGTCATCAACGGTACCTGCATATTTGATACGACCATTCTCCAACAGCACGGAATAGTCGGTGCGAGGAAGACACAGTGCTACATGGTGAGTGACCAAAATGCGAGTTCGGTTCTGGCCGAGTTCCCCGGTGAGAGCGCGCTCAAAGAGGTGACGACCTGTGTGCGCATCGAGGGCGCTAAAGATGTCATCCAGAACAAGTATGCCAGCCCTAGAGTACAATGCGCGGGCAAATGAGACACGCCAGCGCTGGCCACCGCTAAGGTTGACACCATTCGCACCGATATCGGTCATATCTCCGTCCGGTAGCATCTCGAAATCTTTCTCCAGAGCGCAAGCAAAGATGACCTGTCGGTAGCGCTCTGCGTCATCCGGGAGTCCAAAGAGAACGTTCGCTTTAATCGTAGCATTTTCGATCCATGGCATCTGCGCAACATAGGCAATGGCCGAGTCGATAATCCAATTTGCCTTTGTCGCAACATGATCGAATCGGTCTGTGATAGGAGGTGGAACTGGTACCATGATCGTCCCGGCGAGGACATCACATTCACCCAGGATCGATGAGAGAAGGAGACTCTTTCCAGAGCCAGTTCTGCCCGACACCACGCTTAGACTCTTCGTCGGGAATTTCAAGGTCATGTCACGCAAAATAAAACGATCCTCGGAATCTTGGATATCTTGTTCCTCCGCAGGCCATGCAACAGAGGCGTTGTCGAAAGCGATATATTCAGCGGGGACAGTATTGACAACATTTTCGGAGGTGGCCAAAAATTCGTCGATACGATCCGCGCTAACTTTCGCCTCTAAGCCCATCGACATAAGCTCTGGTATAATAGCGAGCGACACCTCGAGGGAATTGAAGATTGCCATGGCTGTGAAAGCCACAGAAGGTGTCAAAGTGCCATTAATAATGGCGTATGTAGTCAACGAGACGGCGGATAAGCCGACAGGACCGAGAACCCAGATTGCAAGCAGGCCAATATCAGCAACGAAGGAAGCCCACAATGCGCCAAGTTCGGTTTCACGCGTATCCTGGACACGCTTCTGCCATTGCTTCTCCAAAGCGGAGAATTTGATCTGCCTAATTCCCTGCAGCACTTCGGTAACGATCGCCAGCTTCTGGTCACGGAATTTCATCAATCGGTCCTGGGCATTCGAATATTTTCTAGCTGCGTATGCATTCAGCGGTGTCACAAGAGCAGAGACTGAAAGGCCGGCAAAGGCACTGCGCCAGCCGAGGATTTGGACCAGAAACGCAGCACCGATAATGATTCTGAAGGTCGCTTGTGGGATGATATAGTTGAAAGAGGCAAAATCTGAAACGCGTCGAGCATCCACCGCCACATGGTTGATAATACTCTGGCGGCTTTTCTTCATTGCATCCTCGTCATCTTCGTGGTCCCCTGTAGATCCCTTGGTGGAATTACCGGATTCGTCTGGCGTGTTGGACTTCTTTGTATGCTTCACGTCCTTGCGACGCATGGCTTTGGCAAATATGACCGCTGACAGCTCTGCATAGGTCGGAACCCCAAGTTTAGAGTATACCACCCAGAACAGCCACGCCTCCACGCTCGAGGTGAGGAACAAGAACCCACCCAAGGCGAGGACCCAGATATATGATGCCCCAATATTCCAGTACGGAGTATCACGCAGTTCAAGTGTTTTCAATATCTGAAACAGGGCGACCTGCGGCCCAAAACTCAGGAAGCAAATCAGGAGACTAAGCGTCATCTGGGCGAGTAATGACTGCCAATGCGCCAAGATGATCGCTTTCCACAATTTCCGGTTGTGTCTAGCAATTTCGAATTTCTCACGGAGGAAACCCGCACGATTCGCTGCCGTAAGCTTGGGGATATCATCAAGCTCCATTTTCTTGTGCTTCACTGCATGGTTTAACAGCTGATTGGACCAGCTGAAAGTGAAGCGGCTGAGTAGAGAGACTGAAAGCTCCTGCTCAACCAGCTTATCTTCATGGTAAACATCTGGACGACGCGGTAGCAGAACACAGAATACGGCGCGAAGAGCAGCGCTAGCAATTTGAGCCAATTGCAGCCCGACCCAAACTCGGCCATGAGGGATGGGGAGTTGAGAGAATACCAAGACGCCCAGTTCAATTCCTGGAACTGCAATGGCAACGAGACTCCCCCAGAAAGCGAAGTGCCCTAGTACATATCGGCTTGTCGGTCGGGGTTCAGTGAAGAAAGCAACAGCCTGAATACTAAGAAGAATCTACAAGATAAAAACTGACTGTTAGCTTTTAAATGGAATGGTTTCGTGCTCTTTATCAGGGTTTCTACATACCCACACCCCGAACTGCAACCATATCAATGGCGTGGAATTGGTAATAAAGAGCTTCAATGTTGCAAGAACAGCCAATGCGAGGGTCACCAGAAGTCCGGCGATGGAGAACAGGGCGATAGCGATTCTTTGCCATTTATCAGAGAAGGCTCGGAGGGATTCCTCGGTCGCTTCGCCATCTTCATCACGGTATACATCTTTGGCTAGTTGGATAGGGTCATAGTCACGCGCTTTGCCAGCAATACGGTTGGCGATACTCTGGATGGCAGGTATACTATCCAGAGCAACTAGCGACAAAGCTAGATAGGTAGATGTCGCCAAGTAGGACATATTCTTCGCACACGAAAAAAAAAAAGAAAAAGACAGACAAAAAAAAACTATTAACGCGTTATCATCAACGACTATAACGAATTCGTATATCCCTGCTAGCGTCAGCTATGTCACATTGAGCGGGGGGGGTAAGAAGGGAATAGACCGACCTTAGACCGCAAGTGACTCAGAAACCTATTCAGACTATATTAAATGTCAGATCAATTTCCCTCCAGGGCTGTGTATTGAGTCACACGCATGCAATATACCTTACAGAACTCGTGTTCAAGCATTGAACTAGTTACTTATGTACGTCGGCCAGAACCGCCATGTGGACACTGTTATCTCCGAGCACTGTGTAGTATTGCGAAATATGGCGTAAGCACTAAGCGCTAACATTCCACTCTTTCGGGAGAATACATACTTGTATAGCTTATGTCCATCTAATGCCCATCTAATGCAGGACCGGCCTCCACCCGCGTCTCGGCACAAACTCCTCCACGCCCTCATCATCTAAGACATCGACCCCCAAACGCGCCGTGATAAGACTCCGCTCAGCTTCTGGTCCGTGCACGTAGAACGGCTCAAATCCTTTTCCGACGGGTTTCGGGGTCCATGTTCTTTTCCTAGTTTTTCCCTCACTTTCATTTCCTCTCACCATGGTCGGCTCAAATCCAGATGATTCTCTGTCTAAACTGAGATACCATCGCCGCTGGTGGATCGAGCCGATCATATTGCTGGACCCTGGGTAGGCATTGTTTCTTTGTATCTCAAGGTCGGCGGTGTGGGTATTTCCTACATGTGCATGCTTAGCCGGGCCGGTTTGAAATTCGGATTGAGACCGTGGCGGTGTTGCGTCCCCCCTTGATTCTTGGTTATTTCGCGGCGAGGGCGATTCCGAGTCCGAGGTAGACGGCGCTTGTGGCACCGTTCGCCTGGATGGGTGTCGACGACGCCGTTTAGGGCCCTCGCGGATCGGCCGCGCGAAATCGGTTGATTTGTCCATCCGCAGAATAATAGTGTAGTCTTTTGGTAAACGAGTTCCATGTAGTCGGAGTCGGATTTTGCGCTTGGTGTCTTATGCGTTAGAGAACCGAGCCCATTGTCTCCATGATGTACGGGGATAGACCTACATTTTGAAAAGCTTCTCGTAACTTCGCACTGTCTGAGATCTGCTCTTCCGGTGGACCCTGACTATCTTCGGAGATCTCTGATCGAGAATCATCGGTCTCAGGGCCAGAGGGGTCCATCTGATAAGGTAGGATTTCATATTCTCCAGTGTCCCAGATAATCAGGCTCCCCGTTTTGTGGGAAGCTGTTTCAATGAGATGATTCTGTGAATATGTAAGTAAATTGCTGGTATATCATCTCATTCCCAGTTACAAACCCATAAACAATGGATCCGAGTTTCAGTTGCATTCCGGTTTAATCGTTGGCTATTCGGATCCCCGGGCATCCCATACATAACCGACCAACTGACAGAGCTGGTCTCTGAGAACTGGAGGCGGAGATCATAATGGGGCCCTGCGATGGGATGGTCATGTTGATGGATGACGAAATGGCGTCCTTCTGGGTGCTCATTACGTCTGTACAGCTCGACCCATTCCTTGATGGGTAGCCGGGGTATTGGTTGATTTGGAAGTGGGCGAACGCATTCTTTGAGCTTTGTGGAAATTGTGGTCAGAGGGTCGGTCACTTCAACCTGGCCTGCTTCGATGGCAGCGAGGCTGGATGAAATATTTAGTTGTGATGTGGTCAGCGGGATGGCGTCTCCTCCATCCTTGGCCCTTTTGATGGATGCTCTTTTTAGTGGCGGAGAGACGGGCGCATTTAGGCTTAAGAGAATTGGGTGCTGTTCATTTAGCGACATTTCTTTGTTCAGCTCATGCTCCGGGCTGGGTTCTGGGCTGCAGGCGCGTTTCATGACTGGGGCCTCCTGGGCTAGGGTGCGTCACAGCGTGTATCAAGCGAGACTTTCAGCCCACACATGCATGGGACTATTGGACTCATGTATTAACCGTATGGCTTTATAGATGGAAAGTTGAGTTGATGTCGGCCCGGGGTCTTTGGATATGGCTTAGTAACAAACGGCTCGACTTTCCAAGGGCCAACGACGTCAAAGATATCAGACATGGAAATTTGCAATCAGTAACTGGAATGTAGCGCGAGCTTGCAACTGACGGGAAGAAAAGGAAGAAATAATAACAAAATGTATAAGATCCCGTTAACATATTTATAACGCATACCTGTTCGAAATCAAATCTGCACTTTTCATGAGAAATGTTCAAACCTCGAATTTGTTCCAATTAAGACTATATTCCTACAGGAAATATAATAAAATCGATACCAACAAAACTATGTCACAGTGCCTGCTCTTGCGTCAATATGACATGTGAATCTGGCACCCGATTTCTCCCCAAAGCAACCCTAACCGCAAGGATCTCTCACACAAACTGTCAGATACGGTCAGATACCAGGTCATGAAAATCGGTAGTGGGATTAACGGCCACACTCTGCGGGTTGTGGAAGATATCCTTGGGATCAACAAGAGTCTTGATACGTTGGAGCCGTCCAAGATTGGTCCCCCAGTAGGCCATCTGACCATCCTTGAGGTAAGGATCAACATATCCCGGATAGGAACGCAGAGGACCGGGTGGTCGATTCTCTATGACAACTTGATGCAATCGATCGAGGAACCGTCTGGAAATGTACGCAGGAGGCTCAAACCCGATAACAGCATAGGATTGCATCCACATGACAGCATCACGGTGAACATAGGCTGTGGCATTCATGGGAACATCGTTGGTTGCACCACCTTCCAGGTCGAAAATAACCCACCAGTTCTGAGTGCCTTTCGGTGCGGTGTCGAGGTATGTGAACAAGGCAACTAGGGCGTGCTCGGTGAACAGTTCGTCGACTGTGAACGATACTGACTTGGAGTAGAACGAAGTGAGTAAAGCTCCGCCGATGGAGACCAGATAATTCTCAGCCGCGTGGGCTACTAAGGCTAGCCAGTTTGTGATGTATGCCACATTGCCCTTATTTTGGATTGGAAGATTGTTTTCCTGCTCAAATTCTTGGAATTTATCTGTGGTTCCGAAGAAGCTGCCCGTGATCACAATACCATCCGGGAAGATTGTGAGCTCAGTGGAATAATTACGCGTAATATTAGGCTTTGCCACGACGGACTGCCAGGCTTGGAAGAGTTTGACTTTGTCAAGTACGTTTCCCTGGCTGAATGTATACGTGTATTGCACAGCGCCCTTGGGAATTTCCTGAGTGCGAACTTTGAACTCAGTGACGATACCAAAGCTGGCGGCCGCACCCTTGATAGCCCAGAAAACATCCTGGTTCTGGGTGTCGGATGCTCTCACAACGCTGGAATTTGCCAGGACTACTTCAGCCTCCAGCACATGGTCCAGTGCAGTTCCCCATTGTCGCGACATGAGACCGAGACCACCAATGGTGAAATGACCACCAACACCGACTTGTGGGCAAGAACCATGAGACATAGCTCTACCACCTGCATGCAGAAGACGGTCTTGGAGATCACCTAAGTTTGTACCTGCCCCAACAGTGGCAATGTGGGTTTCCGGATCCATGGAGAATTTCTGGAAGCTTTTTAGGTCGACGACGACGTGACCATCGGCGCCTCCCAGACCTAACATAGTACATTTGGCTTAGCAAGGGTGGGATTTAAACCAAGAAGGCTTCGTACCATAGTTACCATAGCTGTGACCTCCGCTGTAAGCTTGCACCCTGTAGTTTCTCTCGACGGCACAACGCACGATTTCAGCGACCTGAGCCGTAGTATTCGGATATGTGATCGCCTCAGGATGGACAGGAATGGCCAGGTTATATGATGGCAGGGCCCGAAATTCATACAACAAATCTCCACGAAAGGCAGCCATATTGGGGTCTCCTCCCACGGCAGCCATGAAGCACTCACGGCCGGCGACGCTGGATGTATTCCCCATTTTGGATAAGAGTGAGAATTGAGGATTACTTCCAAGATGGTCAAGTAGAATTTAACAAGGGAAGAGACCCGTAATGACCGGTAGAACATATAGCAAGAGCTGAATTGCGACTGCTTCACGAGACGGAGAGCCCTGGCCAGGTCTGCTGTTCACTCCGATGTCTCATTTTCTCGGTGTTACAATTGTTACATATGTCACAATTGTCACATTGGTTGTTAATACTCAGGGGATCTCCTGATTATTTAAAGTTGTTCGTCTAAACATAGTTACTAAAGTCCTGTCATGCTACTGCAGGGACTAGTGTAACACGGATAATTAGTACATGAAAGTGCTTGAAATGATGAAAGCTAGAGTAAATGTTCGAATCGTCAACCAATAAACCCATAAGGGCCTAAGTGAATACCGAGAGATGCCGAAAGAAACTGCTCGGGGACCACCATAACGGCGACGTCAATGGTCCCCGATCCGGAAACTTTTTGACAGGCAATATGGAAACCCTATCTACTCCTTTATTTCATTGCTTTCTTTTCAAACGCCGAATTCAAGAAAATCACAGATTATAGATATTTTTTTTTCTACCTTCCTTGGGTGTTCTATGCTTCAGCTATCATAGGGATCTCCTATTAAACACTCGGTCCAACACATCCGCAATGACATCAGGAGTAAAACTTTAAGAACAAAGACAAATCGGCAAATCGACAGAGCATCGACAGCATGTTCACCCCAATTCATACCACGCTGGGTGCACTATTACTATTCCACGGCTCAACCGGCCTGCTAGTACACAACGGCGCCGTCTTCGGTATATCCTCTCTCCTATCTGAGTGCGCCTTCAACCCGAGTCGTGACAATGTGCCCATCATCGCGGGTTTGGTGTCCAGCATTGTACCAGTGTACTTCTTGGCACCATCACTGATCCCGAACTATCCCGCACCGCCAAATTCCTTGGCTTCTGCTGCAGCAACGTTAGGAGTGGGCTTCCTATTGGGATGGGGGACAAAGGTGAGGAGTATCGGACATAACTGAAAAAGGAACAAGTTGACTAAGTGAATGTAGAACGGTCGAGGTTGTACCTCTGGACACATGCTGTGTGGCCTTTCGCGTCTGTCACCCCGCTCGTTGATTGCAACCGCCATCTTTTTCACAACTGCACTGCTCACGGCGAACTTTGTCGAGGGCGGATCCAACATCCCTTCTTGTGGTACGACCCCGTGCTATACACCAGTGTATCCATCTGGACCCGAGTTGGGCTTTATGACTGGTGCAGCACTGCTAGCGGCCATCACGAACTTCATCGTTATCCCGCGGATTGTCCATCGATCGGAGGAATCTAGGGTCGCCTATTCCTATGTGGCAGGGTTGGAGTTTGGTCTGGGTCTTTTGATATCTGGAATGGCAGACCCAGCCAAGGTGCTCAGGTTCTTTGCCATCTTGACTGACCCATCCCGATTTGATCCGTCGCTGGTGCTGATCATTCTGTTTGGAATTGGACCATCCCTGTTCACTTTCCTGGCTAAGAAACCAGGCCAGGCGGTCGAAAAGGAAAAGAATGTTGCAAAGCCTACCCTTGCTGAGAAATGGCGACTCCCAACAGCCACCGTGAGTGACATCGATTGGCGGTTTATCGCGGGTGCTGCGTCATTCGGGCTAGCCTGGGGACTGAGAGGGGTCTGCCCAGGCCCTGCAATTTTGCGAACAGTCCTGCAACCGACCTGGGGGCTGATCACGATGGGTGGATACATGCTGGGCAACCTCATTTAATGGGAATGAGAAGTATAAATTATGGGCATTTGATTCTCCATTAGCTTTGTCGACTTTTGGCGTTATCGTGGATGAATATAGTAGAAATCGGTGCATGATGAGGCAAGGAAAGCCCCAAAAGATGGAGGTCCGTATCTCTCATGAGCTGCGTCCGAGGTTTGATTAGCAAAGGAAACAATGCCATAGAATATGTACATAGTCGGTTCAACTGAGAATATATGCCATTGGTCCGCGAATAAATGCATTGGGTATATAACAGAGGGGGAAAAGGCTACAGGGGACCGAAAATATACAAAGGAGACCTCAGGAGTAAACGGAAGGATGGCTTACAACTCAGTCTTCCTGCTTATGCGAAGTCCTTCCAACTCAGCAGACTCGTCGTCACTGCGTGGACTGGGTGCTGATGGATGGTCAAAGTATCCTTCCAACTCCATCCATTCAGCAGCGAAGGCGGTAACTAGCATGCTCCAGTCCTCGACGGTATCCAAATCTAAATGCTCACCATCATCGTCGATTGTATGCCAAACAGGAGGGAACCCCTTGAAGGGAGCAAAGTCAATGAGATGGAGAACCTCAACACCCTTTGCGAGGAAAGGAAGGTGATCGTCCTGGATGCCACCCATAGGCGCGAGCTTGTGCCCATCCTTTTCGGTATCGACGAACCACGGATCAGCCGAGGCAGACTTGAACTGCTTCAGTGACTTGAACCGCTTTTCAATGGCGCCCAGGCGTTGATAAGCCCAGTGGGTGGTCTCATAGTAAGACTGAATTGTCGGGGATTTCGAGCCCAGCAGATCCAACAGGACAAAAAGAGATATTGACGACAGGGGACCCTTGAATTCCGACATCGCGGGATAGACTTGGTCATCCCAATGTGTAGCCAGGGCACGAGCTCCGTAGAGAGAATCGGTGTCAGTCCAGTCTTTAAAGGCTTCTTCGCCATCCAAGAATATGACCTGGAGACCCCGCTCCTCTTCGAGGTAGTCATTTAGTCCCTGCTCCTTCAACGCGGACCATTTCTTCTCCAGCGCGGCATCCACGCTGCGCATGGCATGCATGATCATCGCACATGGCGCAGCACTGTCGATCCCCCCGATGAGGCCTTCCGGTTCTATCTTGCTGTCATAGTGAGCGACAAGAGTGAGACGCCCAACGTCGCCAACCGAGGCCCAAGGAGGATCGCGCGTAGCAATGAAGTTTCGGAAGGGTACATCCTTCCCCTTTGATAGTGGTGTTTTTGCTGTAGAGTTGTGGACCTCAATAGTCCATTTGGGCAACGAAGTTCGAAAAAAGTCGACGAAGTGATTCAGGACCGCAGTGGAGCCGGGGGTGCCAGGGACGCGGGTCCTTAGTATAGGTGACAACAGAGCGCCATTGTGAATATCAAAGTCGTTATTAGGCCGCAGGAGTTCGGTCAGTGTCTTATCTGATAATTCCTCGTATGCTTCTACACATGATAGAAGCATTAAAAGAAGCCCTAGCCAAAGTGACACAATGCCAGGTGTTGTGCGATAAGCCGAAGACATGGGGTTGAAGGAGCTCGCGCTAACTGCTCATGACCTGCATCAAAGGAACGATTGAACAGAGTTCAAGACTAGTTCAGCCAGGTACCCAACGGTATTATAGAGTATGAGATCAAAGGAGAACGTGTCAAATACTGGCAAGGATCAGCTCATGCAGCAATCCAAACAGAGCGGAAGCTAAGGCGGTCACCTTTTTGCCGAGCAATCGGCATCACGGCGATTTATTGCGGGTGTTGATCAACGTCCCAATTCTAAGCCAACTACATTACACAGGCACAATGCGACTACAAATTCTACTTCACCCTCAATTACGCACAACTCTACCAGAATGTGCCCAGCGCAGTCTTCGGAGGAGCGTCTGGGTCCGGTTCAAGTCGCAGATCCCTCGGCCGTCGCAGAAGCATCTTTCACCATTACCCAAATCGAAGGAAACACTTCCAGCCACGCGTTCTCCAGTCGCAAGAACCCTCACACCCCAAAAGACAACCGTCAGGTCAGGTAGTGTGAACCCTCCCGCCGGTCATTAAGTGCGCGTGCTGAGCTAGAGTTGCAGGCCCACCTGAACGAATCTTGGTCTACTATGGAGGGACGGGCAGAGCTATCTTTCTGGGGACACTGCGAATCACCACAGTGATTCTCTTTGGTGCAGCATGTCTAATCGTTGCACCGGCATGCTCCGTGGCTGACTACCCCTGGTACAGCACACCTGCGGGTAAGCTATATAACTTGGATATTACACCGCCTGGGCGTTTATGCTGATTTTACTGTAGTGATTGCCGCTGGTGCCCTCCCAATGCTATTTGTGTCCTATACTGCTGCCCCTTACGTGAACTTCATTCATTTGGCCCTGCCGGCCTTTGCCAGAAAGTCACGGGAAGCTGCCGCCCAGTATGCGAAAGACCTGCCTCCGACAGCTGTTCTGTATCTCACCAACATGCGGTTCAATACTATTCCCCGGCAAACGGCTGTTCGCCTTGGAGATCTGGTTCCGTTCAAAGACTCCTTGCGGCCCGTCACATTCAAGAATCTGAATCCGTCGCCGCAACGATGGTGGCAGGGCAGAGCTCCAACCCAATTCTATACTGGAACCCACAGTAAACCAGGGAGACAGACATCGGCTTTCTATCCAGAATTGTGGAATGTAATTTACCAGCAAATTCAAAAAGCCAAGCCGCAGCCTCGTTGATCGAATATAAATCTGCGACTTGATGGCTGGTTACATTGATGGTTTGATGTCAAATTCTGTCAGTTGCTTGATCGAGAGAGCTAGTCTCGGCCACTATAATTGAAGTCTTGGTAACGGTCAATTGATAATTGGTCACACTAGGGGCATTTTGATATCTATACATCTACCTTAGGGCCTTGTGTCTCTGCTATATAGTAACTATGAAGTCCCAGTCATAATTAACGCGCATTAGTCGAACGGAAAGAAGACACCCATGCCTTGGGGGGAACCCCATTTCCTAACCGCCCCGAATCCAAATTTTGAGCTATTTCGCGCTACTTGGACGTCACTTGGACGTTAATCGAGTCGAAAGTAACATGTATCAATTCTGCTAGCGCAAAGAAGCATTTGATAGCAAGGAAAAATCAAGTCTGTTTATATGCTCTTTCCCTGAAGTCTTACCTAGCCCTCATCTTAGACAGCTCTGAACTAAAGGCACTTCAAAAAAGCCCATTATCCCTGAAATATCTTCGCGATTGAACGTCTGAACGCAGTTAAATAGCCTTCATAATTGGCTCAACTGGTTCTCTTCTTTTATCTTCTTTCAAGTTAATAGTTTCAAGTTGAGCATCACATTTTGCGAGCATTGCATTGGCAACCTTGCGTTCTACAGTATCAGTTCACTTTCTTGTTTTGCAAGATCAGTTCAGTCCACATAATCTTGCTTTCCTTTTCAGATCCATGCTGTTTCCCCTTTTCCCTGTTTCCCTCTACAACTCCACACCGTCTCTCTTTCATCGTGTATTCATCACTTCAAGTTCAAATCAGCTTTGATACTCGACTTAACCACCCCATCTACCCACAACCTCAACAAACTAAGTCAAGATGTCCTCCCCGGCTAATTCCAAAGATAAACTCTTCCCTGGCATTTCCGCGACTGAAACCAAGCTCCTGGTCCTCGCCAATGTCTGTTTGAAGAACGACAAGGTATGTCATTTGGTCCCAAGTTTCCTCATTGTCTTATGCCTGCTAACATATTGGACCACAAAGGTTGACTACGACAAACTTGCTGTGAACGCTGGAATCAAAGCGTCTTCCGCCCAAACTCTTTTCCGAAATGCGAAGCGAAAGCTCGACAAGCTGTTCGGCGATGACAATGCTGATACTGAGGGCAATGGTAACGGCAACGGCAATGGCGCCCAGGCCGATATGTCCCCTGAGGAGACTCCTTCCAAGCGTGGAAAATCGACCGCGAAGGCCAAGCCCCGCACTCCCAAGGCTCCTAAGACCCCCAAGATCCCCAAGACCCCAAAGACTCCCAAGGCGACCAAGACCCCCAAGGGTAGCAAGGGCGCTGTCAAGTTTGAGGAGAGTGAAGACCAGATCCCCGTTGACCCCGAGCTCAGTCCTACCACCACCTCCGCCGCCATGTTTGCTGAAGATACTAGCCGTGAGACCGCCGTTGTTGACCCTTTCGTTGAGCCTTTCGTCGAGCCTGCCGCTACCGTTGACGCTACAAAGGGCAAGACTGAAGACCAGGATGAGGGCAATGAGAATATCGGCAAGTACGACAAGACCGACGGGGATGCGCTTGATCTGGCAGTGAACCAGCAACTCTCTGAGTCTCCTTTGCCCCAAGAAGAGGACGATCCCAGCTACGAGGAGGACATTCAGGAGGACGAAGAGCACGAGGATTAATCCCGGGTTCAAAACTTCAAAAACACGAGATGGAACAATTATCACGGAGCACATTTGAGAAGGACTGGTTTTTTTAGGAAATGGCAAGGAAGGCATTAGGAGGAGAATGTGAGGAGGTTACCAAGGGAAATCGTGAATACTCTTGAGGGAAAAAAAAAGGTCTCTACTAGTTTGTCTTGAACAAGTGATACGGCACTCAAATCAAACACAGTGGATATTGCATTTGCATGCTCTAGAACCTACATATATCATGTACAAAGTACATTCTAAGGTCGGTAACCGGAGGTTTTATGCGGGCAGACCTCATTCAGCGTCCCTCTGTTTGGAGCCGCAGTGATTTCACGTGCGAAGGAATAAATGCGGATAAATGCTATAGGCCTGGAAGGTGTTTAATCGAAGACAGTTGGTGGAAAGCACATTTCAAAAGTATTGTCTTCAATGTCAGTCCCAGAGTAATAGTGGTTTAGTATATGGAGTAGACCTGTATCACCTGCATATGACGCTACAAACAGCAGGCTACCCAGCGGTATAGGCGCCAACTGCCAAAACCCCATTTCTAGTTAGTTAGTAAATATTTGATGCCTTGATGCCTAGATTTCGCCTGGCGGCCTGAATTAACGACGGGCAGAAGAATTAAAATACCTGAGTTACCATAACACTTCTCTTAATAATCAAAGTAGCCTGATTTTGCTGGCGTTTACAACTCTCAAAAATGAAGCTTTTGATCTCCATACAAATGGAGAGATCTCGATATTCTTGGACGGTTTACAAGTGTCAAAAATGAAGCTTTTCATCTCTATACAATTGGTAGTATCTCCATGTCTTTGGACTTGTAAACCACCTAGAATATGGAGATCAAAAGCTTTATTTTTGACACTTGCAAGCCGTCTAAGAAAGTCGAGATCTCTCCATTTGTATGGAGATCAAAAGCTTCATTTTTGAGAGTTGTAAACGCCAGCAAAATCAGGCTACTTTGATTATTAAGAGAAGTGTTATGGTAACTCAGGTATTTTAATTCTTCTGCCCGTCGTTAATTCAGGCCGCCAGGCGAAATCTAGGCATCAAGGCATCAAATATTTATTAACTAGAAATGGGGTTTTGGCAGTTGGCACCTATACCGCTGGGTACTGAGAAAGTAATGACCGTTGATACATGATCGAATGTGCAAACTGGAGCTTGCATCGACAAGTCTGGTTTAAACAAATGCTTTGGGCAGAGATGTTGGTTGAAAGTCATTACACCACAGAAACCTTTCCCGGCACCCTCACGTTTCCTCATAGTCTAGCCCTAGAGATTGATTCAAACTTATATTGATTTGGCTACAGCCAAACTCGAGCTGGTCAGACACGCTGCTAATAATGGCGCAATCCAAGGCGCAATCCAAGGCACACTCTTCCCTTCGAAATTGGCCCCCGTTTTTTAGGGCCCGGGGCGTCCCGAGCATTTTATTGACTTCTTTCCCGCATGGAGCACCTCTCTTTATCTTCTGCCTTTCTTCTCTCTTACCAAACCAGTCGAGGTTGAAAATGGAACAAGATTGGGAGAAAATGGAGGCCCGGGTATCTTTAAAGCGGTCCAGTGCGCTCTCCTTTCTAACAAAGAGCTACAATCCTAGGTGTGAGCGAAACTGACAATTTTTTTGCTGAGCAGGAATGGACTTCGAAGACGATGAGTCAAGAGATGGATCTGAATACGGTGTATCAGATGACACCGAAGAAGAGCGGTGGAGTGAAGATGAGAGTGAAGATGTAGATGAACAGGAGGTTGAAAATCACGAGTATACAACCCCCGGTGATACATCACGAATGGTGAATATCCGCCTTTTTTTCACTGAGGAGGAAACGGGCGGGTTTAAATGGATGAAAAACTGTGTCGCCAAATGCACTTGCGATGGTGTCGTTGTCGCTACCGCTCTGGCTCGGTATATTTATCGAGAGAGCATGCGCTCTGAGTTCTGGGAAAACATGGAAGAACCTAGCGAGGAAACGTGCGGTATGGCCTACGATGTCTTTGATCGATATGGAACACTTAAGACCAAGTATAAGGACCATCCAGTGCAAAGAGGAACTGGTGTATGGGGAAACGAGCTTGATCATGGCCCTCTTTTCCTAATCGAGGTACTTCATGTTAAAGCACTGGACCTACGTCGGAAAGGGCTGGGGCAGAAAGTAGTATCTTTACTTCTGCAAAAGGCTCAACAGCGTTGCCTAGACGAGAAGGAAGACCGCAAACGCAAACACATGGATATTGTCTACGGTTCCAAAGAGGCCTTTGAGCGAGAATGGACTCCACATGCTTTAGTCAGTCCCGGAATACTGACAGCGGATATCGAATCTCAGTCAGTGGGCAGGTCCGCAGAAGAACGCTTGATGATACGGACTCGAATTCAATCCGGTGCTATTGACTTTTGGCGATCATGCGGTTTTCGCCGAATTGGAGCATCTCGCTGTTTTGCATTTTCGTTCGATCTGCACCATCAGTCTCGGGTTCTTACGGCGGCTGCTGATTTCGACCCGCGTAGCAGCCATGCTAAAGATCTCGAAGACGAAGAACTGGAAGTTATCTATAAGACGGATTCCTCTACTGACTTAGGGAAATTGAAAATGGGAAGACTTCGTGATGCGCTGCCGCTACATCATGCAGCTCTCACTCTGACGGATGAAGAACTCAAAGCTTTTTTCGTCAATCATTCTGGCGATGAGACTGGCTGGAATCGAGTGACCAACTCTAAAGCCACGCTTCTGCATCTAACAGCTTGCGAGCTCAAGCCCCAGAGTACACAGTGGCTACTTGATAATGTCCACCACGCCGAGTCCTGGAAGACAGCTCGTGATATTGACGGGTACACCCCCCTCGAATCATTACAGGAGAAGTTGGAGATAATGCGAACACGAATAGTACATGGCTTTTTCAGGGTCTCGAACATATCAGATCACTTCAGAGGAAACCCTGACACCGCAGTGTCCTGTCTCTCCTTGCTGCTCGGACAGGAAGCTTCGGCGCTTAATAAAGAATACCTCCGGTACGGCTGCATATGCGGAGAGTGTGTGAGAGGATTTCTATCTGCCCGGATGAGGAGCTCTCTCATCGTCCAGGGTGAGACTGCGTACGACTTTATGCAGGATGGAATTGAGGATGGTGGTTTTTGGGTAGAGTTCAACGACCACAGACTCGAGCACCTCGATTCCGATGTGCGAGAGAACCTCAAAACCAACAAGTCACTGCGAAAGGGCTTTGCGAATCTTTTCCAAATTGCCGTGGAGTGTCTTAAGGCGAAAAGGGCTCCAGTTGCAGCAAATCTCGAGTGGTACTGTAAGAGTCGGAGCGAGTGGCCACCATATATCAAGAGCTATCTGCGACGCGCTGGAACGCGGATGGGCTGTCGGGCAGTGCTTCGGGAGATGTTTGACGCTGCTATGAATGAGGACGAGAAAGCAGGAAATGGAGAGTGTCAACGCATATTGAAGAAGGAATGGTCAGATCTTCCAACTTGTAGGAATGATCATGAGTTTGAGTTTGTTGCTAGGGCTTGTGGCTATAGTGGGGATGATTCCATTTCGGTACCATGCTGGTAGATTGATTCTCTTACATCCCTACATGTTTTTATACCCTGTCATCTTGGGTCCTCTGCTTGATAATTCATCTTTCTTAACCACACTTGCCTTCTAAGATCGATATCTTCAAGAGTCGCTTGTACGATCTCCTATTCAACTTCTATTACTGTCTAACATCACAGACAGCAACCATGTCACCCCAGAAGCAAGAGAAGACCCCCAACCTGGTGAAGAGCTTGGGGCTCACCCCAAGTCAGATGGACCACCTCTTGATGGGATATCTGTGCATGCACAAACCAAAGGTGAGTGAGAGAGGGTGTTGTCGAATGTCATATTATTTGAGCTCAAGCTGAAGAATCTGGACAGATTGATTGGAAGAAGCTCGCGGACCTTAGCAATGTCACACCTGCTTCTGCTAGAAGTCTCTTCAGTAAGGCTCGACGCACCCTCGAAAAATGGGAGGAGCAGAGGACCGCTGGAGTGGCTACCAAGGAAACCGAGCAAGCTGAGGATGAGAGAGATACCGAGGATGTCACGGAGGCTATGGAGGATGCACATGTCGAGGATACTGAGAATTAGGATGAAAAGAGATCTAGATTAAACGCAGTGGTCAATTTTGCAACTTTCACTTGGGCTCGAGGTTCCAGGTTTATATGTGTTGTTCAAGATCAACCCTAGGGTAAAGGGTAAAGCTTCATTCATGGTAAATCAAACTAAATCCAAGATCCGTCATTGAAATGGTAGTGAAATATACTTGGCTCAAGGGATATAAGGTAACCTGTTGACTTCAAATCCAAGGTCATCGGTTTCGTATTTCTCCAAATACAGTGAAAGTAACATTGCTTCCTCTCCATCACACAACAGACCGTATTCCGTATCATCTTTCACCACAGCAACCCATCCTTGAGCCTTTGCACAGCAACACACTATTCCACTACAGAAAAGGAAATCCATCCATCGACAAACGCACCACATACGTTGTCAACTGACCCAATGTTGTCTCCCTCTCCCAAGAAGCCGCCCGATCACTTGGGCGATTTCACCGCCGGCGAAATGAAGCTCATTATGGCCAGTGTCCTGTGCACCCCAGGAAAGGTATGTTTTCCCTCCCCAGGCTTTAAGCCATGACTCGAATTAACAGTACCTATAATTTAGATTGACACCAACAAGCTCGGAAAGCTGACGAACATGAAGAGAAATTCGGCAGCAAGCCGATTTCCATCCGTCAAACGCAAGCTGGAAAAGATGTTTGAGAATCAACTGGACACTCTAGACGAGCAGGATGACACCGCCGTGAATGACAACTCTCCCCCTAAGAGTCGAGCGAAGAAGCGTCGTGACAAAGTTGTGGAATCCCAGCCCAAGGCCGAACTTGAGACCAACACCCAGGCTGAACCTGGAGAACGTTTCGATACTCCCGTGAAGGTTGAGATCGATTCTGAATATGAGGATGTCACCGAAAATCTGGAGAAGATCAAGGCTGAACCTATCGACTAAGTGGCGAAATGCACCATGATGTCTTCGACACGGAACGAGAGCTAGGAATGGGGTGTTTGATGCAGTTTCTCCCAAGGATATTGACTGGGCACTTCTCACAGAACCTTTCATGGTATCTGAGTATCTGAGAAGTTGATTTGACTGAAGTACATTACAGGGGGTGTATCAGGTGTATCTAGTTCGCCCTCTCGCATGAGAATGGCCGCACCGTACGTTTGCCCAATGAAAACCATATTGCACAACATGATATCGCCAGCCAATATGCGCACACATGTGTGACTTTTTGGTACAAATTGCCCTTTCTTTCCCTTTGTCTTTCATGTTTCTTCAACACACTCCATTATTCTGTGATTCTGCCTTTGATGTCAGTTCATCCAGCCAAGAACTACGTCCATCTACAAGCACATTATGGTTTTCCGATCTGCGAAAAGCCTGAATGGCTGACTCTTAGAGGGGCCGATGTCAAGTATCTGCTTCTTGCAAACTTTTGCTATGGCTCGCAGGTTGTTACCTATATACTCTGAGTATTAGCTTGTACTAAACACCTTTCAGAACGTTGACGCGGCTCATCTAGCGCAGCTTGCAGGTGTCAAATCCCATACTGCTTTAGGTGCATTCCGAGAGGCCAAGAAAAAGCTCCTAACGTTATGTTCTACTGATATGCGACATTTGTCGACTTTGACGAAACAAATGATTTTGGATGAGGAATCCGAGGAAGGAAGCACAGCAGAGTCTTCTGAATCAGAGATCGACGACTCTCCGTCAAAGCGCCACAACCAGAAGGCTAAGCACATAGACTATGCTTATCGTAAGGGCAAAGGCAAGAACACAGCTCTGGATATCGAAAGTGAGGATGGTCAGAGCAGCGAGGTCGAAGACAACGAGCCCTCTCTGGAAAACTTCAAACTCCCAAGTGAGACCCAGCGTCGGAACGCCAAGCAGAAAAATACGAAGCACAGCAGCCATGCCAAATACTCTACAAACCATAGAGTGGCAAAGGGAAGAGACAGTCCCCTCTACGCAGACATCAAATCCTCGTTCTCCCACGCAGATCGTCCGACCATCCAGCGCAAGCGTGGTGTGAAGCGTGACAGAAACCCATACGAGTTCGAGGATGAATCCACAGAAGAAAGTGCCGACGAGTCATCTGGTGCAGAGATGGACGCCTCTTCTTCCCGTGCTAGCCATAGCCGAATAAAGGGCAAGCGTCTCGAGAAACCCGGTAGACTGTCTGGTGCCTCGGACAATGATAGTGACATCGATGAAGAAGTTGGACGCCGAGCTGCTCGAGCATTTTCCAAGGCCAATCCAGTCAAGAACAAATATCAGACTGGGAATTGCAAGAAGCTTGACAAAAGCAATGACCTCGCTGTGTTCCGTGTTAAAGACCTCGCTCGACAAGCCGTGGATGGTCCTACTCTGAGTGGAGATGCACCGAAAGTCAAGGCCAAGTCCCAGAATTGGAATCGCAAGAAGATTGGCAAAGCCAATGACCTCACTGGAGGAGCTACGGGTGGTTCTACTCTAGGAGGAGATGCACTGGAGACAGATGGTCGCACCGCGAGGAGCACAAAGCATGGAAGTGGTGACTCTATGGATGAGGAGGATGAGGAACCCGAGGAGCCTGAAATTGGTCATGTCTGATCTTGATTGCTTGATGCTATGCTTCTTACTAGAAAGGCATATGAACTATCACCGAAGTACTGGATTGCTCGACTGTGTATCTGTGGTGATGCTTTCTGTGATGTTGTTTGTTTTGCTCGGCTAGCAAGTTATTTTTTCTGCGCCAAAGAACAAGAATAAAAAAAAAGCAGGAGAAAGGAATCAGAGGGCCAATGAGATTAGTGACCTAGTTTGATAGATTCGATGATGGATTAAGGCTGACTGGAATGAAAAACTTGTTTTGCTATGGAGATGCAATAGGAATAGGAGACTAGATTCGCAAAGAATGACAAGATAACCGAACAGATCCAAGGGCGCCTTTTGAACCAACATATAAAAAACAGAATGAAAGCCGAACACGATCGGCCAGTCGAAGTGAAAGGTAGACAAATATCGTAAACACACATTATGAAGAAGGACAGAAGAAATAACGAAGCACCATCTAACAAGTATCTCAATCACTAAAGTGCCTCAATTGCCTTCATCAAGACATCCAGGCCGCGATCAGAGACATCGCCTGAGTTCGAGTCTTCCTCTGCAACAGACTCACGCAGGGCCCAGGCCACGTCACTCCACCAGCCCAGACCGATGAGGCCACCGCCCTTACGGCGCTCCAGGCTCTCCTTGAGTCGGCTGGTGTGCTCCCACTGTTTGGCAGCATTCTCCGCACATTCAATGACCTTGCTTGGAATCCCACACATGGATGCACAGTGCATACCGAAACTTCCTTCTGCAACACCCTTCTCAAGCTTGTACAGGAATGCCACACGGCGCTCGACGTCGTCGACATGGATGGCCATACGCTTGGGTGCGATCTCGGGGTGGTTTTCGAACTCGGCAGCAAGAGAGTGGTAGTGGGTGGCGAAGAAGCCCAGGGCTCCGATATGGGTAGCAATGTGATGTAGCACAGCTTGAGCCACTGCAACACCGTCATAGGAGCTGGTTCCGCGGCCGAGCTCGTCAAGGATGACGAGTGAGCGAGGAGTGGCCTCGGATAGAATCTTCTTTGTTTCGGAAAGCTCGACAAAGAACGTCGACTGGGCAGCGAAGATGTTGTCGTTCGCACCGAGTCGAGACATGATCCGGTCGACTGGGGTCAGTCGGGCTGACTGGCAAGGGAGGTAGCAACCGATCTGGGCCATAATGACAGCAACACAGGTCTATACTTGTTAGCAACAACATTAAAAGAAAGGGAACGGGGTGAACACACCATTCGGAGAACAGTAGACTTTCCGGCAGCGTTAGCACCCGTCAACAAGTCAATGCTAGCATGATTGCCACCAAGCTGGATATCGTTGGGAATGAAGTCCTCAACAGAGGAAAGAAGACAAGGGTGACGGAGCTCTTCAAACTCGAGGACACTTCGTTCATCCTCCACAAACACAGGTCGGCAACTGGGATGGCCAATGGCCCCGGAAGCCTTAGCCAAACTAATGAGGCAGTCGAGCTGCGATACAATTCTAACAGCAGCCAGCCATGTGCTGTAATGCTCATCGAACCGGGCATGGAACCGTCCAGCAACCTCTTTAACGATTTGACTGTGAGTTTCTTGGGCCTCTTGCAACTTGCGGATGAGGCTTCGGAGCTCAGGGAAGTAGTATCGTTTGACTTGCTTGGTCGCGGACATTTGGTTCCAATCTTTGGGCACGTTCTTCACCTTGATTGGGACTTCGAGTTGGTAGATTTCCTTACCGTTATCCCGGTAGCAAATAGCAGACGACCCCAAATCCCGGCGAGCTTTCTTCAGCACGGCGTCGAGGTCCCGGTGGAGTTGCTCAATGATCTCCTGGGAGTTATCGAAGTCTTCTTCGACACCGGACTCTGGAACAAGAATACCATTCTCCTTTGCCTTTGGACGATCGAATGCGGTCTTCCAGTATCCCAGCAAAGAGGCAAGATCGGGCATCGCGGTTGTCAATTGACCAATAATGCTTTCGCCTGAGCCAGTCTCACTTTCCTTAAGGAGACCCATAATATAATCGATCTGTTCGAATCCTTCCAGGACACGTACAAAGTCTTGAGCCTTGCAGTTACCAGCGTGGATACGAGAGATCAGTCGTTCGAGATCCGGCATCTTTGTCAACTGGGAAGAGAACTGGTCCCGGGCACTGGGATCGGCGTTGAGTGAATCAACTGCATCCAATCTTGCGTTGATTTTCTTTGAATCAATTAATGGGTGGCATACCCACTGCTTGAACATGCGCTTGCCGAAGGGCGTGATGCATCGGTTGAGCAACTGGAACAGAGTGCCCTCGGCACCGCCATCGAAGGAATTGGCGAAGATCTCCATGTTGATCAAGGTCTGGCCATCTAGTACAAGACTCGTGGCCTTCTTGATAGGATCATACCACGTGAAGTTGCCAATGGTAATCAAGTCCCGCTCAATCTTCAGCATTCGCAAATATTGAACCAGAGCACCGAATGCACACATCAGTAACTCCTTCTCGCGGGCTTGACGCAAGGTCTCGGGCCAGGCTGTGAGATTATCGTCATCGACGGAGACGAAGTACTCGCTTGCCTCAAGCTCCCGAATTGTGATATCAGATTCCCAGAACTCCTTCCCGGGTTTCATGAAATTCCAGATAGTGGTGGGTCCAGTGTTATTTTTCAGAATGCGCATGGCCTTTTGTGAAACACAAGATTTCTCCAGTAGCAACTCCCGAGGACGGGTCTGCGCGACAAAAGTCTCGAATTTGGTCATGTCAACATCGTCCACAAACTCAGACAAGAAGAATTGACCCGTAGCAGTATCGACAAATGCGATACCGAACGCGGGATGCTCGTCCACAATCGCTTCCTTGATCGCAACACAGTATGTGGACATATCATCTGTAAGCATGGAACCCTCGACCAGTGTACCAGCCGTAAGGACACATGCAAGCTCTCGCTTGATGATCTTGTCTTCTTTGGTGGGCTTCTTCCCCTCTCTCTCACGCATTTCTTTACCAAGCGCGGATTCGGATTGGTCCACACGGGCAATCTTGAAGCCCTTGGCCACGAATTGATTGGCCCAGTGATCTAAACTCATCTCAGGAACTCCGACCATGCGCATGTTCACTCTGTCTGTGAGCTTGAGATCAAAAAGTTGGTGACCAATGGTAGCATCGTTCTCGTAAAGCTCGTAGAACTTGCCCTTCTTGAAGAAAACGACAGTATCCCAAAATTTCTGCTTGATCTCCCAATATTGTTTCTCGAAAGGCGAGAACCCGGACCATGCGAGTGGAGGGATGTAAACAGTTCGGGGATCGTAGTCAGGGTGACCCTTGGGGTTTCCGTCGATATCTTTGAGATTAGCAAGCCATGCGTAGCGCTGCTCAGGCTCCCTGGTGTGGACCTTCGCTTTTTTCGTGCTGGATGCTGCTTTGGTAGACACCACGGCAGCTCTTTCTTTCCGAGGTTCTGTGTTCTCCGGATCAAATGCCCATCTCTTCGCGGTTCCAGCTGACCCTTCTCCCTCTGGGATATCAAGATCGATGTCATCGGCGGGTGGGGGAGGAGGGACGGATGAAGATTTGGAGGTAGGCTTGCGTGCCGATTGAGTAGATGGTCTTTTCCGCTTGGTGGACGATGTGGCTATCTCTTCATCAGAGTCATCTGCAACGACGAAGTCGTCCATTTCTATATCTTGGTTAGTCGTGTATCAGCAAAGCCAACCAGCAACAGAGCACCATACCATCGTCCGAGTATCCTTCATTTGCCCCAGCGTCTTTGAACTCATCTTCGCTCTCCGGCTCTGTTCGTCTTCTCTTGGTAGCACGGCCGGAGACACGATCCTTGCGATTAGGACGGAAGATAACCTCATCATCATCCTCGCCCTCAGAGTCAGACTCCTTGTAGCTCACCTTCTTTTTTCCCTAGTCACACAAATCAGCAGGGTAGATCAATTGAGCAATCAGATTGTACACGTACCCGACGCGAAGGCGACATAGTGGAGTCCTGTTCTGCCTCCTTGGTGGTCTGAGGAGTGAAGAGTTTAGTCAGAGTGAAGGAATAAAACAGACAGCAGACCCCGGATCAATATACCTTTAAAGCACTACCATTTTCTTCTTCCTCCTCTGGTACTGGAAGATCGCTACTTGGTACAGGACTCAGATCCTGCGCAAAGCTTGAGAAGCTTCGCTTCTGTTCCTTCGGCGTGGGCTTGACGGCACTCTCAGTACGCTTCTCGGAGGCTCTCTGTGCGGGAGATGATGCCGGTTCTCGTGTTCGGTTATTCGAGGGAGTCGCTGGTGAGGACTTTTGGAAGAAACCAAGAATTGACTTCTGGGTTCGCATATTCTGGGTGCTGGGGGTTGTGCGCTTGAGCGCGGGCGATGACGCGGACGGAGATGAGGCCGATGGTTTGGCCATATTTTTTTATAAGACAAAGCAATTGAGATTAAATGACAATACACTTTTAACTCAACATGGGATGGGAGTTGTGAGGGAAATGGGGACGGGAAGGAGATAAGGCGCGGATCGCGTCGACGCGTAAAGCACTTTTCGAGACTCGACCTGTCCATTGATCGACACCTATGGACACCTGCGATACTGTCTTTTCGCACCATTATTACCATTATTACTTGGATTTTGTCTCAAGGGATGACTTTATAATATTTATACTATTGTACAGATTGGATATTGTAAAATTACAGATCTAGTGGAGATTCACCTTATTCTGACTTGGTCGGTTCAGCCGGCTCACTCGGCTCAATCGCCTCAGTCTCCCATCCGGGAGCTGTGAGCCCTTGCGCGCGGTATTCTTCATCAGTTACAATGTGAACGGCCTTGAGCTTCCACTTGCCCAACTTGAGCATTAGGAGGTTGCCATTCAGGACAAACTCCTTTGTTTTCTCTGCCTCCCACGGACGGATGGGTGTGAAAGACAATTGGTCCGACATGGGACCACTGTCACCAGGACGGCTTCCGACTTTGGCGCCGTTATTGATGATGACTCGGTGGCCCTCGCTCTTGGATGACACAAGGCCAGCTGACCACAGAAT